AAGGAAATTTATAACATCTCACTGTACCATTACAGTAATTGTAAATTTATCAATATCTTTTATATTCAACAAAAATTACCTCAAAAATGTTTATTCAAATATTTTGCCCATACTGTATGGTAATTCAAAAGCTCAGAACCAAACATTCACACTACAAATTTATCGAAGGCTTTATACTGTATCTGGAACACACAAGAGCTGAACCAATTAATTACCACATTCAAAAGATTATTCTTGTTCAGAATAGCATGTCAATAAAGGCTTCATATGTTTTTCAAATAATATTTGAATAAGTTATACCACAAGACACACGTAAGAAAAACTAACAATAGCAGTGCAACCTCTAAAATCCAAAAACCTGAGAAATTCTGCTAGAATTTACTATAAAATAAAAGTTTAATATAATTTCAAATGTATACGAAACATTCAGACAAACTCTTCATTGTAAATACTTGCTGAATATATGTATATGTATTTATTATTTTTCAACAGTTATAGAGTACGTTACTATTCATATTATGTGCTTTAGTAGTGAAAAGAAATTTTTAATTTTATAAATTATTTACTGTGCAAAACTAATTATCAAAAAGCACTAAGCCAATATGTAATTACACTATACTGTATAGTACTCTATCACTTCAGTGTACAATTCAAAGCAAATAATATTCAGAGTGCTGATCCAAGAGCAGGAATTATCTACATGAAAGGATTCAGTCACTGAGAAGAGTATTAATCAACAAATGTTGTGAAGGAATAGTTAGGAGGCATAGCTTAACTACCACCCTTAACACCAGGGAATTCAACAATTTAACCAAGAGATGCAAGATCATAAGTGGGATAAAACAGTTAAGACTACAAGGGAAAAGCTAGCTTCCTTTCTATTAAATAACCACGTGTGGATGTACTGTGGTCAATACACAATTTCATTTCCGGTAGTATGAGGCAGCCACACAAAATATCAAGTTTGGTGGCCCTAAGATTGATTACTTTCCACATTACCATTACATTTCTTTGGAGGCCGTACCCACATCGCATGACTCTGACCCACCAAACCAATTCATTTAAATTTACTAAATGTAAGATATAGTCAGTATTGGATTTATGCAACCAAAGGATTGTGGGGATAAAATAGACAGTAAGCCATAATCAAAAGAAGGTACCAAGCCAGGAAGACAATGCAGCACCATTAGTGGAGCAGGATATTCAATAGGCGCTAAATATAAATAAGATGAGCGATACCAAAGGTATCAGCTCATTATGTGCCTCTGTAACCCTTTCCACTACAGCCCACAAGATGGGTATGGGGTGCATAATAAATGAACCAAACTAAAAACTCCACCAAGATTGAATTGAAGGACAAATGTTCCTAAAAGACATTATGAAAGCAAGACATATGATCTTCCTAAATACCAGGACATTCCACAAGGAGGTGCATGCAGACAGTAAGGACTTGGTAGAGAGTATAACAACATCAAAGTTCATTTAAATACAGTATAATAAATTAAGAACATATATAACACTACAAATAGACGTTGGCAGTAAGATTACAAATTCCTGAGAAGTGGCCACACACACCCATGCTATATCTGGGGATAACAATGGAGAAGCCTACATAAGCCAAAGATTTCAAGCCATCTGCAAAAATGGGCTAGAGAAAAAGAATATTAAGTGGAATATTATGGCAAGAGTTAATTTAAAACAGGAAGATTAGAAAGGAGGATTTGAAACTATGGATCCAGTGCATGTGTAAAGACTAAAGCATCGGCAAATTGAGAGCCAATGAAAAGCAAAACCAGGGCTTTGGCTGGGGTGAATGTGCCAGCTAATTTACTAATCTTTCATACACGAAGTGTCATGATGGTAGTCAAATGATTGTCAACTACAATACGTACTGCATTTTACTTTTCAGATAATCCATTAAACCTGTGTGCCAATTTCTTAAAAGACAATGAAGAACATAAAAGTGCTTGCACTGTAACATTTCTTACAGGCTGTACATTTGCACACAATTGTCAGTTGACCAAAGTATTATTAGTCACTAAATAAAAACTGATCAAAAAAGTGTTATACTGTATAAAGGATCCACTATACAGAGCAATGTAGCCAAGAATGTAAATAACCTTCAATCTAAAAACAGTAGGAGCCTTGAAGAGGATTCGAAGCCACTCACTTGGTACTCCCAAGCTAGTGCCCAACACCACAACACTATCAAGAGCATTGCCACCAGAGATTTCACTGAATCCACTAGGGGGGGGGGGGGGTCCCGAGGCTCCTAACCAAAGCCCTTCTTGAGGTTATCTTGAGATGATTTCGGGGCTTTTAGTGTCCCCGCGGCCCGGTCCTCGACCAGGCCTCCACCCCCAGGAAGCAGCCCGTGACAGCTGACTAACACCCAGGTACCTATTTTACTGCTAGGTAACAGGGGCATAGGGTGAAAGAAACTCTGCTCATTGTTTCTCGCCGGCGCCCGGGATCGACCCCGGGACCACAGGATCACAAGTCCAGCGTGCTGTCCGCTCGGCCGACCGGCTCCATAACCAAGGGTTTCACACAGTGCCTAGGGCAATAGCTTGGGAGCACCAAGTAGCAGGTTGGAATCCTCCTCTAGGCCTGACAGCTGAGTGGACAGTGCTCGGGATTCATAGTCCTGAGGTTCCGGGTTCGATCCCCGATGGAGAAGAAACGAATGGGCAGTTTCTTTCACCCTGATGCCCTTGTTACCTAGCAGTAAATAGGTACCTGGGAGTTAGAAGGCTGCTATGGGCTGCTTCTTGCAGGTGTGTAACAAAAGGAAGGCTTGGTCGGGAACCGGGCCGCAGGGATGCTAATCCCAGAAATCATCTCAAGATAGGTTACTACTGAGTTTACCATCGATACTTCATATTGATGTGATTTCACTGTGAAACATTCAATTTACTTAAAAGAACAAAAAGCAATAAAAATACATGTCAAATATATAATGAACAAAGCACAAGTGAAAGATAATAGAGCAATGAGAAAATTACTTCGGACCATAATATAATCTGTAAACTCGGGATTCTTTGGTAATGGCACTGTAAACCATACAAAAGATGAACAGAGAGCAGGAGCAAGTTGAGAGGCTTTGAATTTAAGACCGAAGTGGATGGGAGGTCCATAGGGATCAGGAAACTTTGTGCCAAAATTACATCAGACAGGTTCGGGGCAGTCACTGGTGGAGATTCCACTACAGTTTACATTTCTTCCTTTTATATAAGGAATGAGTCAATTTTCCTCGTGTTGCTGCCTAATGGACAAGATGTATGAGGCTTGGTAGTAGGGATGATTTTCAAATCACTACTTCAGCAAAAGGATCAGAAAGCAAGTAATTATCAAAGAAACCATAAAGCTAGTCTGGATATATTGTATAGCACTGTCGGTCAAGGGTTTACAGATCCATTCAGGATGCCAATATGAGAGCAGGAAGAGAGGGCAGAAATAGACAAAGATTGAGCAGCAGTAGTCAGGAAGTCCTCAGAGAGGAGAGTTGCTTAATAATTTTAATGAAGGAATGGAATAACAGAGCGAGAGGCAGGTAGAGATGGGAATTACCTCGTTAATCTCTGGCACATGGGCCAATCGAGTATATTTTAGGGCAGGCAGATGGTCATTAAGAGCAAATTTTCTTAGCTTCCTTATATGAAATTCAATCTTATAATGAACTACTCATTTTTATAATTTTGTACAAGACATGGTAGCCACCACAATTTACACAGCAACTTTGGAGAAATAACAGATTGCACTTTAGTCAGACAGACACCCTTGCCCACTCTTCCAACATTAGAACTAATGTGGAGGAGTAATTTTTAAATAATGGAAGTCATGTCTCCAAGAGCTACAGATGATGGACAGGCCCAAACGTCAACAATAATTTTTAGCGATATCCAGGATCTTAGAACAACCATCACATGGGGGTTGAAAGTGTGTCAATGTTAAGTTTATGATAAATTGGATATTCATTGACATCTTTTACATTATCGTGGTAAGAATTTATGGCATGTCCCCACAGGGGACAAACAGAACAGTATCATAGCCAGAATTCAGATAGAAATTTTTAGCACTTTAAATCGAAGTGTCATTTATTTTCCAAAATTTCTATTGGCAATCAGCTTGTTCTTCAGTTTAGCCCTCAATTATATGGTTAACTGTATGGGGTTGACGAAATTTATTCGTAAAGTTGTGGTCATTCCTTCCTCCTAGCATTACCATTAATTTCCAAGCAAAAAATATTTATTGGACATTTTTCCATTTGAAATATATTCAAAACAGAATCTGTATGCAGAAGTAAATTCAATACCTAAATGTAGCCGGTCAACTGCTACAAGTGTGTAGTCCTCCTGTGATGCGTAGCCGGTCAGTTGACCGGCGGTCAACTGACCGGCTACATATCAGAGAACTGATCAAGAAGTGGCTTGCAAGCCTTGTCAAGCCCCCCCCCCCCCTTTCCCCAAACAAGGGGGTGGGTGGAGCAAATGAGCAGGCACAAGTGTTATGACATTTTAAATCCTTTGATACACTTAGAAAATTATACGTATGGCCATTTTCAAGGCTGCAGGTCTCTGAGGCAGTCAGTTGAGTTTTTTTTTTGACCGACGTTTTGTCAGACTAACTGACTGACTGACTTTTGACTGAGGGTGCCTTCCTCAGTGGAGGCATAAATAAATAGCTTAATATATAAATGCCATGGCTTCTTGTGCCTTTGTGAGGATGGGAGGGGAGTGACAGGTTCTGGCTCTTGGTCCCAGGTATGCAGCAGTAATCCAAAACTGACGGCACCCACATCGGAGATGGTAGCTTCAGGGAGCCACCTCAGAAAAAAATGTAAATTAGTGCCAGTAATGCACTAATTGAGAATATCATTCATGCCAACTATCCAGCAATGGTGTTTGAATATGTATTGACTCATGGCTTACCCTGCTGTTAGCTTGCGATGATTCCGAGAATCAACGTCCCAGTGGTTGGTGGTCTGATCAAACAGAAGCATTTTGTACATGTTCCATTTAATGTTATGTATAGTTTTGAGTTACTGATAAATGTACAAATATTATTGTCAATGTTCCACTGAACAATTTGTATCAAATAAAAATTTTTCAGACTATCTAGAAATTCTGTAAGAGTGAGGTTCATTAGTGAGGCTGCACTGAACATAGCTAGGGCACATGAAGTGTGTGCAACATTAATCACCATTCTTGAAGGAGAAAAGCAGCAATAATACAGTAATGACCTTTGGGGAAAATGATATTCCAGGAATAGCCTACACCACTTTGTTTAAATATGAAGCTGAAGAAATGCCCTGTCACAGGTTATGTGCCCCGAAACTGGACCCAGGCGAGCGAGATAGAAAGTGAGCTGGCAGGAACCCAGATAAACTTGCCTGCCATCTAGCGGCAATTGAGCATAATGTTAAGTGTTTATATCACAACAACAATAGCCTGCCATTATCATCATCACCCAACGTTTGTTAGTGTTGTTGTGCTAATGCTTTCTGGTGGTGCTTGATCTTGGTTTCAGGTTGAGCTTTGATCCCAAAGATGCCTTCTTGTAAATGTGTACCAGATTTTGGTCCTGGCTCTGGTTATGCAAAGGTGGATCTCCGAGGCCTAGTGTGTCCCTTCAAGGCACGAGGCCAGCACTTGGCTAAGAATGATGCTAAAGGGCACTTGCAGAAAAAAATTATTGAAAATAAAAATTTGATTTTGTTGTAAAACCCAGAACGATACATCAAGGATTTTAAAGGCCGCACTATACTGTATACCAAAATAATAGTTATCATTTCCACTTTGCCCCAGACAGATCTACACCCTGGACTGTAAATTCCAAGTACAGGCTATACCCAATACTTCCTGATGATCTATCTTTATATAATTAAGTAATTCCTGGAAAAAGGGAAGCTACTTCAACAGTACTTAAGCTTTCCGTAAGATGTACTATATATATATTAATCCTCACAGATGGAGACTGCCTCTACACCTTTAGTTTATAGGGCAAGTTCTAAAGAATCTAAAGGTATTCCCTTTTATTAACATTTAATATCCAACAAGTTGTCTTACACCTCTTATGGTGTTTGCTGGGGCCTTTCCCATTAGTTGTGTTGTTTACAAGAGAACAGGTCGTGTCTGCAACTCTTCACGTGTGCACCATACTTATTATTGGTTTTAAATATGGACTCAACTTTCTTCATTCCAATTCAGATGTAATTTCTTTTAACAATTAATTTCACTTTAAATTACACAATACTTGGAACTGCGAACAAAACTAAATAGTGAGAAATACCAAACCACCAGCTTAACTTAAAAACCCTTTGATTTATCTGCAATTTGCAGTAAAAATAACATAAAAAAATATCTTAATCTGCATTACCTCAATTTCCCCCAATAATGCATGAAAAGAATATTTATATACATTACATACAAATAAAAGTTATGGGTGTATTCTTATCTACACCATATATGCCTAACTTACCCCACCCTTTTTGGCAAAAAATTATTAAAACACGCGCGCACACACACACAAACACACAGATTCACACCAATCAAGTTTCAGTTCCATCTAAACCTGAGCTCTGTATTCCCTCTCCTCCCATCATAACCAAAAAGATGCAACGGTATAAACCTCTCCACGTACAACAGCTGGACTACTCTTCCAAGCTATTTTGCATCTATAATGATTAATGAATAATTAAAATTAACTATTTTTAAATTGTCTAATAGTAGTATTGATAATTTTAATGTCTTAGTTTGTATACAGTACCACAACTGAAACTAGATGCTTTGGGCACACGGAATATCATTAAAGCAGAATAACATTTGTGTTTTTATGGTACAATATGTTCACATCCGATAATACTAACATGTTGAGCCAAGCAGGGGCTGAGAAGAAACCACACTAGCTTCACAATATGTTGCAATTAGCACATCTCAAGATGTTGATTGATTGATTGATAAAGATTAAGCCCCCAAAAGGTGGCACGAAAACGTTATTTTTGCGGTGGCAACAGTTTGGAATGGCAACCAAAAACTTTTCCATCACAAAATTTCTGTACAATTAAAAAAAAAAAAGGTAAAACGCTAAATTGTTTTTAATGCAACAATGTTCATCACCAAGATGCACAATACACCACTTTACAATCCACAATCCTACTTAGCTCACTTTCATGCATATATGGACCAACTTGTAAAACTAGCCCACAAAATGTAATGGCTAATGTTCTTGTATGAAATATGAAAACACTGTACATTCATCTTTCTGTAACTCTGGCCAAATCCCAATAATTTACAAGCTTCCAGAAGACTTCACCATTAGAAAAGTACTACCACCTATCTCATCTTAAAATATGCTACTCAATGCAAGTTTAACAAAGGCTCGCTGTTCATCACAGTACAAATGCTTAATTTACGATCCTCATTTTCATCCGAATTCTTGGCAACAATGGACAATTACTTAGTACACTTAAAATATTTCCTTTCTGCACCCAATTTTAATAGATCTTAAATTGTCACCATTTGTAATGCTTATTCAGTTATTTGCTCATTCTGGTTTATTGGGACATCAGATATTGTTAATTTCTGTATTTGTTCTACCTCCTCTTTAACTGTCTTTGCACCAAATGAGTTTGTCTTTACAGCTTCCTCTTCACATCTTAAGTCTTCATCATCCATATCATCTTCTCCCTCTTCCAAGTCATGGCCAGCACTCACCTCCCTGGCCAAGAGGTAACTAGACACCACAGCAGGCTTCAGTGGGTGTACAAGTGTTCGTAACCTCCTCGACCTTTTCGATAACTGGAACTTCTTCTTTCCCTTCACTGGTTGTGGTAATGGGACATAGTGAGGCTGTTGGGAGGTCTGAGACTGCAGGCACGACTTCCCCAGTAGGGGGGAGGATGGCGGTCTGAAATAAAAACAATGCCGTTATGTCATTTAAACAACATTCAAGACAGCGTAACAAATTAAAACCTTACTACAGCATTAGTCTTACATAAAAATATCCAAAATAATGGCTAAACAAAAACATTTTAAACATTATTAACAACATTTGAAACAACTATTACATTCAGTTTAAAATATATGCCCACAGAAACAAAACTAGAAATAAAATGTAACATACATTTTTTTTTTAACAACTGAAATACATGGAATACACTGCTAAACAGTTTTTTTATATTGAAAATGGCTTGCAGTTTCAAATTTTCATGCTGACATTTATATCTAAATCTGATACAACGAAAAAGGCAGTGGTGCAAGGACTGTGCCCTGGGAAGAGAGCTTTCACCATGATTGTGGCAAGAGTGTCCAGGAAGCCGCCTGGAACCCACCAGGACGAAGCATTTCATTACATCCAACAATTGCTTTCTGGAAGGCCCCCTAGGTGGCTCCCAGTTACTATCTCACCAGAGAAACAAAAAAGGCGATTCACCAAGAGCAGAGATCATAAAACCATTAACCCAGGAGGGGAAAATCAGTAATGGGTAACTCTTACCCATTGCCACACAAGACCTACACGGCCCCTCCACATTAACCAGGTAATGAACTGCCAAAACCCTATTAAGAGCAAAAATACCCCAGCCCCAATATCAGCCAAAGACATTAATTAGCAAAAATGACTAACAAAGCTGGAAACTTGCGGTGCTGTCATCCATTTTGATTCATTACCATTCTGGTGATTGTTCCTTGGTGAGGGTGATCACAGATCCCCTGCTCATTGCACCTCTCTGAGGGGGCCACAAGGTTTTGCCCTTTAATCCCAGTCAGGTTTTTACTGACATGCAAGGCCCTGCTTTGACTCAATAGGTATAGAGCTAACCAGAGCGGCTAACTACAGGGCACCACCAATTGGTACCAACAGAAAAAGTTATTTGCACGAGTAAGAAAGAGAAACAGCCCAAGGACAGAGCCTTGAGGAAAACCACTTTCCACTACTCCCCAGCCTGACATATCTTCTTAGACTGCCGGTACTCCCTCACCCAGTCTAGTGTCTCCATTATCTCAGCTTCTCTCTCCATTTTGTGAGGAACTGTATCAAAACTTTCTAATCAATGCAGGCTATCCATTCAACCTGTCTTCCTATAAGGAACGTTGCTTTTTGCACGTATGCGTTACCCAAGGCCAAAAGTTGTCGTACTAAAAAATGGAAGCGGCTCGCAAAAGTGACGTTCTGTTCCGTTTTCTGTTTTGGGTCCTCTGGTAAGTTAGAAGAGGGCACTTTAAATTGACCATTTTCTTAACAATGGGAAACCTTAGGAGGACAGGCTGATCCACCATTTATCATCTAGTCTTACTTTGATGATCCTGTCAAAGAATTTAATCAAGATTGTTAACATGATTTTCTTTTTCTGATGAAGTGTTGTGCTTCTGTTACAAAATTTACCCTCCAAATGTTCTCCAATTCTTAGTTCAAAGAATTTGGTCATCATTTTGCATGGAATGCATATTAGTGACACTCGTCTAATGTCCTGGTTTGTAAATGACATGGAGCCTCTTATCGAGTTCTTCAAACACATCTTTGTTATTCTCCACATATGATTATGCAAGACCTTAGATTAGCTCCTTAATTTCATTGTAATTAAATTTTTAACTTACTGCTGTTGCCCTCCTGATTGTCCTGTGCTTATTTATGTGCTTCTTTGCCTTTCTTCTCCTCTGTACTATGTCCTAATAAGTTTTCCATCCTTTTTTGTTTTCCTCCTCCTTACGCTTATTAAACCATGAGTTTGTTGTTTCCTGTCATCCACTTCACCTTTTTCATTTCCGAGTTGTCAGTTCCTCATCTAGTTTCCAACTTTCCTTTCATTTTGATCTCCCGTTGAACATTTTGCAGTTCCCTCTTCTGTAATTTGGTGCATTCTTTATACCAGCATTCGCCAACTGGTGGTCCGCAAGACAATTTTATTTGAGTATTGTATGTAACCATGTTCTTTATCTGTTATATTTAATGGCATCAAATAGTTTACTTTAATAACTATCATTTGTTGTTTGGTGGACAGCAGAATTGCCCGCTTGTATCCTCCCACATGCATCTTGTGTAAGGAGCTCATATATTTTACGTATTTCCATATGTGGATCATGCAAGGCTCATAAATCGTCTTGCTCTAAAATTATGTAGACCTGGATTGTATAACTTGTTCTTTTTCATATAAATGCTCGACACACACTCGAAACCTTTACCGGTGTGTGATGTCAGTGCGACTAGTCTGTAGTTCTCTGCCAGTGCTTTGCTATCTCCCTCGTGAAGTGGGGCAACGTTAAGAGTTTTAAGGAACTTGCAGGATGCCACTTGCCTTTTTCTAAGGCTTTTCTAAGGCTAAGGGAAGGCTTTTCTTCCACCTTATGCCCGAAACGCTTTGCGTAATAGTGGCTTTAGGCATTGTATGTACTAGCTCTACCTATAAGTCAACCAATCTTTGTAAAAAAATTTTGTATGTATGTACCTTACCTAAATAAACATTTTATTTTTTTTTTTTTTTTTTATATTGTCCCTGTCCTACTGATATTTTCACTTCTTTATACACAATGAATTCCAGGAACATGACCCCAGAGCTGAGTGCACAGCAATTTTTTTTTAATGCTGTGAGGTTTCTTGCAAGCAATATCTTAATATGGTCAAAATAGGGCACAAAATACTGAAACAATGTAAAAAGTAGTACACAAATACTATTAAAATTGTGCAAACAATGCTAAACCCATGGCAACAACCACTTCGTAAAAATCAACCCATGAATCAAATGAAATGCCCTTTTAGCAGCTCCCCAAACTACAAGCTGGTTCATACAAACATGGGGAGTTGCACAAGGCCTTTGAGACACGCTTGCCTACCACAAGTCAGGATTAAAACTGGTTTCTCTCGACAAAGGGAGGGGAGCTTTGACACGAGATGTCAATCACCCCCTCACACCCTAAAGAAAACTAAGTGCATCAAAACAAGGAAATGCTTGAAGAAAATATCATGCCTGACAATAATGAAGAAAATGATTGCTGCTGTTGTGCGCAAATTGTGATGTACAAATTGCTAACAAGTGGCAGCCTAGGACACCTGGGCTGTCGCTCCTGTCGGCCTGCCCCTTTACTCACGTCACCTACACTGAACCCACCTTCACCCCTCAGGAAGCAAGAGAACATGCAGGGAATAGGGAACTACTTAGTGGGGGGCCCCCCATATTTTAGACTGTCCATTTTTACCTCTATTTCCATGCTCAAGTCAAAGCAGCATTCTTAATTTACACACAAGGGTAGGACCTTCCACTCTTCCGTACCGACTTCTAGCCATCTCTCTTCTTATTTAATTCTTCTAAAACAGCACTTTCATTGTGCAACCCCCTTTCCTTATCAGATAAGGAAAAGGGTGCTTCATTACATTCAACACAATTTCTGCAGGGAGCTCTCTAAAACTTCTCGAGCTAACTCACTACCTTGGCAAGAGGCCTGCATATATACAAAAAAAAAAAGCAAATCAGAAAAAAATATTGCCAGGACTTGCCTGGAGAAAATAATACAAGAGGGTAGCAGCTTGAGTACGAGGGGAAAGGCACAAGTAAATGCAAATATCCAGGTGGATCCCAATTACAACTTTGAACCCAAACAAAAAGAAAGAAATACTGAGCAAGGGGGTGAGGACAGACCCTGGTTGACCGAGACCAAAATTTCAAGAAGCCTGTCAGAGCCTGGGAACAATCAGTGACAAAGCCAGAAAACTGTCAGGCACAAGACAACACAGAGGAGGGCAACGCAGGTGTTTGCAACCAGCTACCAAAAATCAGTATCACAACCCATAAACAAAATGTAGGAAAGAAATCAAATCTAGCAGGAAAAATAATTTAGATTTTTACTCGGCAGATTCTAGCGATAAAGGAGCTTCACGCACACTTCAGTTCAGTAATTTCTCCAACTCTGAATGGGGCTGTTAGTGTACAACAATATTCCACTCTAAGAGAGCACTAATGCCCTTAAAACTATCATTAGCGTGGCATCTCTTGTTTGGAGAGTTCTTGTTATCCAGCCTGTCATTTTTCATGCAATTATTGATGAATATAGAATTCCAAGTCTGGGCCTTGTGCAGTAGCCATGGATATGCTGTCTATGGCTACTTCAGTCAAACACGGTTAGGGTACCATCTGATATATAGTTCGATGGTGATGTCACATTTTGTCACATTCACTGAAAACAGAATCGTACTGTAACCTCAGTATTTTGCTCATTTTGCTGTCAGTTGTGAAGGTTCTGTCACTCTTACACAGGGCCCAATGCAGGATGTAGTTTTTGGTCCTAGATTTTGCATAGGAATAAAAGTAATTCGGATTCCTCTCGATCCGCTCATGGCCTTTTGCTCTCCAGGATTTATACGATTCTTGCAACCTTAGTTCAATCGTTTCAATTTCTCTACATAGCCTTCTTTGTCATTTTGATATTTAAAATGACAGTTAATTGGGTATTTAAGATGTTCTGCAATATGTTTTCTTCCCTTATAGAGGGAATGCCATTCTCATTCCAGTTTGCATCTTTTTCTCTTTCTCCTTAGGGGTATGTGACTTGCACACATTTCTAGTGCTATTCTCTCGAGTGATGATACTTATCTTGAGATGATTTCAGGGCTTTTTAGTGTCCCCGCGGTCCGGTCCTCGACCAGGCCTCCACCCCCCAGGAAGCAGCCCGTGACAGCTGACTAACATCCAGGTACCTATTTTACTGCTAGGTAACAGGGGGCATAGGGTGAAAGAAACTCTGCCCATTGTTTCTCGCTGGCGCCTGGGATCGAACCCAGGACCACAGGATCACAAGCCCAGCGTGCTGTCCACTCGGCCGACCGGCTCTACTCGGGACCATCACAGATAAGGTATTTACTCTGCAGCAATGATAATTTCCTTTGTTACCTTCGAGGGCATAATTTTCTTTAAGGAGTTTGTTTTGTGCTTGTGCTTTCTTGTGAGTTTTGTTCTTGTTCTTAGTTGATCCCTGATCGCCAATTTTGTCTCCCCATTTCGAGATTCAAATTTTCGGTCCCTGCTCCTCCAGGATGCATGATTCAGTCTCATAGGTCTGGTGCAGCTCCCTAAGGCTTTGTGGCCCAGTGTTTAGCTCAAGAAGCTACTCAATGGGACTTCCCGAGAAATGGGTGGTGTGCCTATCTTACTCCGTTTTGGAGGTCACCGAGATTCAAAATACAGGATTCAAGACACTTCACTGTGCTTATTACACTTTTATCATTGATACATTTAATACTCTCCATGCAAAAATGTTCTTTTTAAATTATTACAGAAATATTTGTTGAGGGACATCAACTGTACATGTAAATATCATATCAAATAACCTATTTCCACACATTATTCCCATCTTGTCATGCACTATAAAGTCCAAGATGCATTAACAAATATAAACCCATTAGGTGAACAAAACACAATTCTGAATGTAATGAAAAGCTCTTTTCTGGGAGGTGCCAGTAGTTCCCTGGTGCCTTGACTCTGGTACCACAAACACATCCACACAACTACCAGGTTACCAGGTGGACTTGCACACATCTACCAAATGCCAGGACCAATGTCTGGGGTGCTCGCTCCCAGAGGTGACAACAGCATTAGGACCCAAGATCGATCCAAAGCTAAATAAAACTGCCCAGAAACTATAGCTACAAAACAGACAACCCAAAACTGAGGAAAACCCCATTAAGTAAAGGCAAAACAAAACAAACAACGTGCTGGATTAACACGATGGAAATGCGGGAAGCAGTAGTACAGTATACCAATGTCAACACTATGCCATGATGCCACCCAGCTGGGTTGAAGTTCGGCAATAACTGCCTTGTCCAGCAAAATTCTAATGATAGTTTGAAAGAGAGATGTAGGCAGCTGGGAAGAAACCCAGAGCACCTGGTAATGAAGAAACAAGAAAGCCAAACATGGGCCCTGAATCAAAAAGACGCTGTCCCCAACTACATCACAGGAGCTTACCACCAAACCTCAAAGAGGAAGAGAAATGGCATCTCAGTCTGCACTGGAGCCAAACAAGCACCAAAGAACTACCTCAACCAGAAGCCAGAAAAAAAAAATCTGCCTAGATTGGCCCCAAGAAAGAGATTCGAAGGAAGTTCTTGCCAGTCAGTGCCCAATCTAAAGGAAACCGTAGCTAAAAAAAAAAAAATTGGGAAGCGAACGGTAAACCTAGCCGACTCCTTGAGATGATTTACGACTGCATGCCGGAAAGTTCGACATGCAGCATACAGAGCTGCCAAATCACAAAGGAGCAGAGCAAGAAGCTTGGGCAAGGCCTCTGAAGCAAATGTTGTGGTAGACACAGAGGAAGAATGAGAGAACGTGGGTTCTCTAAGTGTGAGAACCCACCTCAGCATCTCTGTAAAGTGAAGTTACAAAACTGAGAAACCTCGGCTAAACAGGTCCATGCCTTATGGTCCGCCAAGACTAAAACCACCAAAATTCTGTAAATTGGATATGGGTCTGCCAGGAACTCCCTATCACAGGGAAGACAAGAACCAAATAACATCCATTAAGTGCATTTAGAGAGGATCCCCTCAAAATCAAGTTGAATATTGTGTCAGACACTCCAATCCATAAGCTCAAACGACAAAAATGAGCCCATTTCTCCAAAGAAAGAAATTGCTTTTTTTAATTGCAAGGTTGCATTTATTAAATTGCATTTAACAGATACAACCTTGACAGCCAACTACAAGTCTGATACAATCGTGGTTGTGGATTATGGAACAGATCATGGTCCCCTTCTCATCCATGCCCTTGCAGACGAGTAATGTGATTGGTACTTGGCACACTATCTTGAGGTTATCTTGAGATAATTTCGGAGCTAAGCATCCCTGCGGCCCGGTCCTCAACCAGGCCTCCTTTTTGTTACACACCCCCAGGAAGCAGCCTGTAGCAGCTGTCTAACTCCCAGGTACCTATTTACTGCTAAGTAACAGAGGCATCACGGTGAAAAAAACATTTTGCCCATTTGTCTCCGCCTCCACCGGAGATCGAACCCGGAACCTCAGGACTACAAATCTGAAGTTGCTGTCCACCCAGCTGTCAGGCGCCCGCACACTAAGTTGCAAGGCAAACAGTTCAGACTCCTAGAGGACCTCCGGTACCACCTGTAGGTACACTTTGGTACTAGCATTGGACTTGTTGATATTGGGCATATTACCACTTTCCTTGTTTCAATTGCCTCTCTAATGAAGATTTAGCACCTTGCTTCCCTCACCTCAATGAACATACGTACCAGATTCAAGTCCTGGTATTTGGTATGGCTGTGCGATTTCAGAGGCCTAGTAGTTTTGATGATGACTCTGGTACCAGAGCTCCAGCCAAGAAAAGTAGTTTTTTTCAACTGACCCTAAACAAAAGAAATATTTTCTAAAAAAATTGGCCACTGAAATTTTAGCGGCACAATTGTCATTTTATTATGTATCATCCGTATCCTGCCTAAAAAATATTAAAAATAAAAATTCAAACCCCCAACACTTTTTATATAAAGGAAATTCAACCCAAATTACATACATTTTTGCAGATGGAGAGTTACAATAACGTGGCTTTAGATATAATGCCCAAACCACACTCCAGAAAATGAAGAGAAGACGACGTTTCGGTGGTCCGAGACGGACCGAAACGCTGTCTTTTTCTATACTTTCTGGAATGTTGTTTGGACATCACACCCATTTTTGTTGATCTTGCTGCATTTTACTCACAGTATTCAGCCTGCAAATCAATCCACATCCTAGCTACTGCTGATCAAAGTATACTCCAGCTCCAGGACACACAACATGACCCCCTCTGTGACACCATCTGTCCCCCTTTATGACCTACCTGGAGGAGATTTTGAAGCCGCCTGAGACAGTGACCTGAAACACCACAACCTTAAGGTCAGTTGTGTTGGTGGAAGTCTCACTGTGCCCACAAATTGTCTATTTCAGGGACAACATTTTGTCATGGCTGCCTTTAAATTCAACCCGTTCCCGCACTTTCTTACAGTCAATATTGACTTATTTAATAAGTGCATATGCGACATACTAATTTAGTGAATATTTTAGTTTACCTTGAAAAGCTTCATAGAAAACATTGACCTTAAGTGTTTAGGTAAGGTCGGTGTTTTCTATGAAGCTTTTTAAAGTAAACTAAAACATTCACAATAAATTAGTATGTCACATATGAACGTATTTAATAAGTCAATATTGACTATACGAAAGTGCGAGAACGGGTTGTTAAATTTGAGGAACCAATTGGCGCCCACTAGAATTTAAAGACCAAGAACCAAGTGACAAAACCCTGACCCTTAAATAGTGCCTTTGTAAGAAATCACAACATATCACTTTGCTTTGCAAAGCCATTTAAATAATCTTTTTATCTAATTAGTACACAGATTAGGGTGCAGGAGGTATACATAAAGGCTGTCAGACCTTTAACATTGTGACAATGGTGACAAATTTGCAGCAAGAATTTATGCATGTTAAAATCCATATTCTAATGACTTGGTTAAAAGGTTATGAATTTTGAAAGGTCCTATTTAAGTTTGTTTTCTATAAATAAAAGTTATGCCATGACTATCATATCTAAGAAAAGAACAACATTCATCACAAAACATATAATATAGCATTAAGTGAAATGAAAACTTTCTGATAAGTGCCTTGGCAATTCCCTAGAGCTCAATTTGAAGACCCAAAACTAACCTACACCAACTTCCACCAGATGGCAGTGCCACACTGCTTGCAGGTCAGACGATTCAGCCAACCAAACTTTATTCCGAACCTAGTTGGACACTAATTTGCAAGGAGGAAGAAGAAAAACCAGGAAATGGGGAGCTAACAAGGTGCTGCTCAGAAAATGGCTTAAATCTTTATTTCTCCTAATCTTTTATTTCTGAGCTAGCCCTCAATAACTGCCCAGTGTTCTGACCACAGTGCATGTAATCAACCTGTGCAACAGCAGGAAAAACATGTATTGCAACAGAGTACTCTCCCTTGATGTAAAAAAAAAAAACTGCTGAAGGAGTTTGATAAATAAAACACGCTAGAGGAGTCTCCCCTTGGGTGCTAGTGGAATACACAACCGAGCTTAGTACCTCTTAAATTTCAAGTACACAGGCTAGAAAAACAACAAGGAAAGACCAGCAGAAAACCACAAGAGCCACTGAGAAATATATTTGGACCAAATTCCTGATAACAGGAAAGCATTTGAAGAAAACACAGGTTCAGACACTGAGCTCAAGTGATAAAACTCCACAGCTGGGCTTGCCTCCGTGGAGGTATTTTTCCTAAGCAAGAAGGGAAAAACAATCCAAGCAGGAAGAACTGGGGAAAACCCAAACCCTAAGAGAAGAAATAACAACCCAACCAACCCATGAGATAAGAGAGGAAACCAGTCACCACACACACTCCCAATTGGAAACAGGGTGACAAAGAAAGAGAAGCCTCCATATTTACAGCAAAGGGAAGAGAGCATCTGCAAAACCATAGGAAAGGCACGTTGATAACCACAAGTGATGGAACACAAAGTGGGACTGTCAAGTGAACACAGGTAACATGCAAGTGAGCCCATGGTGCCAGAACCCAGAGAACAAGACACCACTAAAGCCAGACACAACCACAAGTGCAGACAATTGAAAGCAAACCACAGAGCTCAATGGAGGACGAGAGGACAGCAGAGTACTCCAAAAACCACTGCCACCTCATGAACCAAAAAGTGCACCTGTTGGCACAAAATGTCCCCAGAACCTAAAGCACCTAGGGGCCCCAGCCATCAACCCTCAAATCGAAAGCCAAGGTGACCGGAACAGTATGAAACAGAACATAAGAACAAAGGGAACTGCAGAAGGCCTATTGGCCCAAACGAGGCAGCACCTATTTAAAACCATTCAATCCCACTCATGTACATGTCCAACCCACGTTTAAAACAATCGAGGGACCCCCAATTCCACCACATTATGCGGTAATTGGTTCCACTTTTGATAGAGTTACATAGATGATAGAGCCACAAGACACGAGCTAGACGGCGCCGAGACAGCAAAGTCAAACCACGAAAGGGATCCGGGAGCCATGATTAGCAAGAATCCAAAACCAAAAGATCAATGCATGAATATTCGTAACAAGGCAAACAGGCAAACAGAAGTGGATATAGATATCACAAAATGAAGCCCAAAGGCCATAGAGGACAGTGACAACAAAATGACAAGATAAACAGAACCACCCAAAGAAATATGAGTGCACAAGAACAAAGCCAAGAGAGTAGATGAAAGAGACATCAACAAGCCTCCAAACAAGCACTCAAAAGGCCTACAAAGAATTAAACATCCCCACAAGGCAGAAGTGAAACATCAGTCGAGGTTGGTGGTGGCAGAAAATAAGAAACACACATTCTTGAGGCCCAAACCAAGCTCAACCAAGACCTAATGAAGCCAGAGCACTCGGCTCAAATGAAGACAAAATGCCACCTTGAACAAGTGTCAATATAATGCCTTCAGTTAAAGACCTAATAAATAGACCTCGCTGGTTAAGTTTAGAGGAACAAGACATTGATAGTGATCATGACTGGGGAGGCACCAGTCTGCTGAAGATGGTCCCACAGAAAGGCAGACATTAAGAGAATAAAGGAGGCCTGGAATCCAAGTCCAAAGCCAATTACATCAATGAGGAAGGCACCAACAGTAGGAGGAGCCTTGTGACCTACATCATGTCACAAAACAAAGAATAAACTAGTAAAGAGAAACTAGGCTCCAACACCACTGTCACATCCCCCAAGGGAACTCTTCACAACCAAGGGTTCTGGGTCCAATTCCTGTAGTGGAAGAGTTGGATGGGAATGTTTTCTTTCACCTAACAAACAGCTACTCAGGAATTAGGAAATTGTGGGTTGCATCCTCATGAAATCTAGAGAGACCTCGATAAGTCAAAGTACAGGTTTCCTGTCCCAAACAGTGGGAAACCAAATCAAGAAGATCCTACATTAATACCTAAGGAACTAGAGAGGCTCCAAGTCAAGGCCACTTGAGGTGGAGGCCACAGAGGTGAAGACAGGGAAGGAGCATGAGTAGATTCTGAGCAACAAACCAAACCTCTATCTTAGAAGGAAAAACAACAGGATACACTCCATATCACCACAGCCTTAAAATCCTCCTCATAAAGGGGGCGACACACCTCTCGCAACTAAAGTCGCCAAAAGCCAGTACTACGAAGTACAGTACATACAAGGAGGGGTAGAGCAGCCCAGTAGCCAACCAAGACATTCAGTGAGAAATGTCACACACACCTCTGGATAAACAAAAACCTTTGAACCCAGCAGCTATCTTCTTAAGATTATCTCGAGATGATTTTTTTTTTTTTTTTTTTAGTGTCCCCGGGGCCCGGTCCTTGACCAGGCCTCCACCCCCAGGAAGCAGCCCATGACAGCTGACTAACACCCAGGTACCTATTTTACTGCTAGGTAACAGGGGCATAGGGTGAAAGAAACTCTGCCCATTGTTTCTCGCCGGCGCCCGGGATCGAACCCGGGACCACAGGATCACAAGTCCAGCATGCTGTCCGCTCGGCCGACCGGCTCCCCGACCTTATGTTGCCTTTGTTGCCATAGCAACAAAGGCAACATAAACATCCAGCCAAGTCTGCCAACACTCTCTCAGCCCTGGCAGATGCAAGTATCATAACCAAATTTTAGTGTCAGTATTCACAAGGTCAATACAAATCCAAAGTCCTGTTAGTTCTTGCAGATGTGTCTTTCATACCAAAACCAATCCACCACAGAGCAACTGAGAGTTAGCTGAGAAAAGTGTCACATTTTAGATAAAAAAAAAAAAATGCTGCCAATGTGCCAAGTTTGAGTAACTTGGTATATCCAGCTATGCCCAATCTCCATTATTCCTCTGTACTGCAAGGATAGGTTGGTAGACGCTGCATCATGAGCCAATAGGACATTAGCAGATTCCCTTATTCATATTTCATCTTACCATAAATACTGGGCTTGTCATAAGCTTACAGTACAAATCGAGACTTGTCAGTACACCCTATGTCAACCTTGCAGTTCCCACAGCTTTGGTGAATTCACACAATCCCTATATATACTTTGGAAGTGTCATTGTGTCATGACACCTCAAAAATATCCTGAATCCTATAGCACCATGGAGGAGGGAAAAGGCAATGCTGAATTTAGAGATGCAACTCGAAATTACCAACTATTTTGAGAACGTGGATTGCTCCCATTTATTGGTCATGCATATAATGAATCTAGAATATGTACAACACCTGGAAGCCCGCTGATAACTGATAGCCCAGTTACCATCTCTCCTTGACATAAGACTGCCATCAACACCTATCAGTGATGCGGTGATCTGAACCCGACAACCTCCCACTACCACTTCCGCAAACTAACACCACATCCACGTCCAACTTCATCTCGCCTCCATATGAGAATAGTTTACAGAACTGCTGAATAATCAAACTTGACTGACTCTTGCAGAAAACTTCTATGAATTCCTCTAGTACATAAAATTAATTTAGATAGGTGTCAAAATAAAAACAGGAATGCGAGGCATCGGGAATGTATCCAATTTTTTTTTATCCATGCTGCTTAGCATTTAATTTTTGTGTTTATTTTCTGGACTGCATTTTCCACTCCGATCAAGATTGTGGTGTATTAACAAACGCCTACTTTGCATAAAACCAAAAAGTTTATGTAATATTAAAGCAACTGCCAAGTTTACCTGAGTATTTGTAACAAATGAGAATACTACAATGTAAGAGCAACAGTTAGTAAATACAGTTCCCATACCTTTGGCATCTTGAAGGTAGGAGACACTCGAAGATGAAACTTTTCTGCACACAGGCTTTCTAATCGTTCAATTGCTGAAAAAAACAAGTCATTTCAAGTCATTAGTGTTTGATACTTTTAACTTTCATTACACATTCTTCTTATAAAAAATCACAGATACATATGCATACACACACATACACAGGCATGCACACCCACCAACAACCATCCCTCACACAGTATACATAATATTTATAATGGCTGCTTTGACAAAAAAATTAAATCTCAATTTGTGTATCACCCAAAAAAATAAAACTAAATCAAAATACCTTTTTCTTTACAGCTGGCATATGCATTCTCCCAAGCATCCATAAGCCTGTTGTAATAGCGTGGCTTATCCAAAAACCCAAAATAAGGGTAAGTTTCTGCAGTAGGAAAAATGCGCATGAATCTGAAAAAATTATTTTTAATTAGTTTGGACGTTCCTTAATATATTAATGTGCACTTAGAATGAATTATTTCACAAGGAAGCTCTTACTTTGAATATGAACTGTTCATAGGAGAGTCACAAGTAGGACTGGTAGTATGTAATGGGAGAAGTAACTGTACCATCCAGTTTCCGATATCACAACTGTGTAGTTAATGAAGTGTACAGAACTAAACCACAAAACTGCAAGGCTCTTCATATGTACTTTATTAAGCTAATGAAATTGAAAGGTATCCAATACAAACTAATTACATTAAATATTAGAAATACATCTTAAAATACACATTTTTATTATCAAATATCAGGTGCTAAATTTTCTTTAATTTTTGAACATTCGCAGGTGAATGTACAGTCCTCAAATAGTAAAATGATACAGTGATATACACATAGAAAAATGCAATATAAGTAAGAAATAATGTGCCAGATACTGGTATCACCCAGGTGCTGATATTCAGCCACAGAAACCAAATGCAGTACAGTACATTAACCTCCAAAACCATTTAAAATACCACCAACGCATATTGACACCAAGCTACCTTAAACATCATCAGATCTCCACGGGAGACATCTCCCATCACGCAGGGTGCAGTCGCACCTCCATAGATCTCCAATATCATCTATTGATACTGGTAATGGCTCAAAAGGGCCACCACTTACGGGCTATTCGTGCCCGTGCCACCTTTTGGGTGGCTTAATCTTCATCAATCAATCATCAGATCTCAACAGTCAATGGGTCCAAAAGTTATAAATCATTGTGTTAAGGCACTATCATAGTGGCAGAGATTATTAACCCTTGGAGTGCATATATTAATCCCTGGGGTAATGGGGTTATCATAGGTTTATTTTAGTTATCATCACCCAGTTTTTAAACAAATTAATCAGTATGTAAATGCTGCTATAATACATCTATATGGATGCACTGTTATGTTTTAACTACTTGCTTTAGATGAGGATATCTTGTACAATAAACTTATCATAAATCACAATTTGGTGTCAAGACTGACGTTTTAATATTCTTGGATAACATTATCAATTAGTATAGCAATGAGGGGTGTACTAGACATTTCCTTTGTGCTGTCGCAGGAATAGATTTACACGAGATACAGGTGCACGTATCATACTCTAGGCCAAAATATCATAATCACTATTGTTGTTGTGTATAAATAAGTTATTGTACACATTATGGAAACAAAAGTCAAACCTCAAAGATCTAATGCCTCTACTTGAAGAAACAGTTCACAAACTAAAGAGATTCTGTCCAACAGGAACAACCTCGTCCCGGAAACTCAATTTCTTTTCAGGGACTTGCTTATCACTGGCCACTAACTACTCCAGGAATATAATCTTATTTATTAGGAAATACAACTTAAGAACAAGTGATGTATATAATAGCATAGCGAGTCTACAGCATAGAATGCAAGAATATTTGTCTGGATATCCAGCTGGGAAACTCCCAGCTGGATATTCCCAGCTGGATATTTGCAATAATAAAGGAATTAACCCTTACACTGCTCAGGGGTCCTTGGGACATTTACACCCCTGTGCGCAAGAAAAAAAAAAATTCAAAAAAAAATTTTCGTCTTCTAAACATGTTAATTTGTGTCCCCTGAGCACGGAAAAAATAAAAAAAAAATCGTAGGCGACATATTTTGGGCACAATTGACCGAGGAAGTCTGGCAAAAAGTGGGCGTTGACAGAGCGGTCGTCAGACCCGGTCAGCGTCACCCGCGTTGACAGATGGGAGTTGCCACAAAGATATTATTACCTAATTGTTTCAATGTCTCCGATTGATTTTTTCTTAGTTTTTTTGCAGTAATATTATTCAATAGTGTGTATTGTAATATATTTATATAATAAAAGTGGTTAATAATCGCTATACTCAAAAGTATGATGTGCATATTAGTGATTCAATTATTATGTTTATAAAACTATAAACAAATAGTTTTGCTGTTATTACACTATACACAGGTTATATATAAGTATCTGCATGTTTTGGTCACCATAACGAACCACTAAGTTGGTATTGAGTCGAAAAGCAACGAGGAGTTACCGCCACACACCAGCCAGCCACTCGCTGCCACTCCCTCAACACACGCACTAAACTTTCTCCCCCAACAATACCTTTTGCAGTGTTATTACCCTATATACACATATTATATATAAATGTCTACATGTTTTATGCACCGTAACTGTACACCTAAGCTTGTAGTGCGCCCAAAGAGCATAGTGGCCACCCTCTAAACAGCTAGACAAATCGTGCAGACGACGTCACCTCCGTCACCCATATGGCTCCTCCCAGCATAATCCTTTTGCTGTTATTACACTAATACACACAATATATATAAGTATCTACATTTGTGTTCAAAATAGAGAACCACTGACCTGGTATGGTGAATGCAAACAATAACAGGTGGCCACACAGTTAGTAAACGATGCTGTCTCCCTCCGTCTCTCAGCATCACTCCTCCCACAGCGCTAATTATTACAACAATCCTGCTGTTATCACAACCCTGGTTATTTATATCACAGTCATTGGTCATCTGTAATATTGTCATCGCTAAATAATAACAATTATATATTTATTTTGACATTTTTCGGCAATGCTGTGGTCACAAGCTGAACATCAATGCTGTTCGCTCATGCTGCATGCGCCGGCCTTGGTTGCTCCAACAGTACTGTGCCTCTCACACCTGAGAATATTGCCAAGTTTTTTTTTTTAAATGGCATCTGTTTACAAGAGCCCTGAGGAAGCTACTGTGAACCCCGTGTAGCCGCAGGCCATTTGAATCAGGCCTGGCACCCTATGGCGTATATATACGCCATGCGCACCATGGGACATGTTACTCAGGGCGTATATATACGCCATGCGCAGTTTAAGGGTTAATGTCACAAACAGATGGCTTACTGACAGGCATTTTGAGTCCTAATGAAGTCAGCTTCAGAAGATGTTGCAAGAGTTGTGTGTTGGTAGAGATTTTGAGCAGAGATACTAACAATCGCAGCAAATATACTCACTTTCCAGCTCTCTGCAACTCGTCCTCGGCTGTCAAAAGATGCCGGACATCATCGGAGGTTAGATTTTCTATGGTGGAGACTAAATACTCGCTACGTGGCATACCATTCACTTGTATGTGTTTCACCTGTTAAAGAGATTAAAGTCTCTATCATACTAATAGCAAAATTACATTAGGAGGAAATCTTACACTAAATTCAAGTACTACACCCAAAAATTTAATTTCAGCTACATATGTATACCCAAAAGATTATAGCAATTATACTTTGAGCTGAATCAAAAAAATCTTTCAAATATTGGATTTCAAATTTATGAAAATTATCATATTTTTTGCAAAGTACTAAAGAATGTCTGAATTAAGACAAGACCATTAGAACATAAGTATGAAGGTAACTGCAGAAGGCCTATTAGCCCATACGAGGCAGCTCCTATTTAGATCCACCCACTCTCATTCAAGCATATGTCTAACCTACGCTTGAAACAATCAAGGGATCCTACTTTTGTTGTTACACGGTATTTGGTTCCACAAATCAACAACCTTGTTACTGAACCAGTATTTACCCAGATCTTTCCCAAATCAAAACTTATCCAATTTATACGCATTGTTTCATGTTCTATCTTGTGTTGATACTTTTAATATCCCATTAATATCCTCCCTTGTTATGTCTATTCATCCACTTGTACACTTCTATCATGTCACCCTTAATTCTTCACCTTTATAGATAATGTAATTTAAGCTTTGTCAATCTTTCTTCATATGCCTTGTTTCTAATTTGTGGGATTAACTTCTGATAAAGAATGTTCCTATTATATCAATTTATAATTATGCAGTATAAGTTAGTTATATAGAGAGAAATCCAGAATAAGCAATGATTTCCCATTTTCGAGTTACTGTACTAATAAAGCACTCCCCTTCTCGACTCTAAATAACAAGCCTATTAATTGCTGCAAATTAATTTACACTTCCTACCCTTTATTACCATCATTACTATCTACTAAAGCTGCCATTTTAAATGCAAAGCTGTAGTCCCTGGGCATCATGAAAATTATACTCATTGTCTTTCACACCACCACAAAAAGTAAATGTTTTACTAGCCCATTGAGATACATCTTAGGAGCAACTGACCTGTTCTTCTGGTGTTAGCAGTCTTGTGTATAACCGGCGATCCAAGCACAACCCAGACACTTTATCATCAAGGTTGAATTCTCCTAAAAGATTCATCTGAAAGCAATATTTATTATTGTGTTTTATTATACCTTGGTATATCATAATATTTTATATAATGTATTACAATATATAAACAGGACTTGTATACTATATGGCAAGATTTCATCAAATCATTTCAACTGTACCTGCTGTTGTTGACTAAGTTTATCGGGAATATGGAAAGCCACCATGTTCAGAAGGTCGGCAATAAGTGGGCCTTTCACCGAATGGTCCAATGGTGATGCTGAATGCAGTGAAGGAGAGATGTTTACTTCCAAAAGCCACGGTCTGAGACGTTCATCAATTATAACATCAAATCCAAACAATTCATGACAAGAGTACCTGTAAAGGTCAAGGGATATTAGAATTTGACAGTTGTAGTTCAAATGATTGACATAAAAACCTAAGATAATGCTATGGTTTGATCGCGTGAAGAAAGGTATCCTGGTGAACTAGATCTCTTAATATGAATAAGTAGTGTAAGTAGTACACCGGGTGCAGTTCACATGTTTTTAGTGAACTGAGGGTATAAGAAATACACCTTGTTGTATTGAGTGAAGATTTGTGCAATGAATGCAAGCTAATGCAAGGGTAAAGGCTAATGAAATTAAACTTCAATTGTTGCAATGTGGTGCTTTCCTAACACGTGACTTCGGGGAAATTAGGTTCAGTTCTTATGCCCCACTTCTATTACCAGTTATCTTGAGGTTATCTCGAGATGATTTCGGGGCTTTAGTGTCCCCGCGGCCCGGTCCTTGACCAGGCCTCCACCCCCAGGAAGCAGCCCATGACAGCTGACTAACACCCAGGTACCTATTTTACTGCTAGGTAACAGGGGCATAGGGTGAAAGAAACTGCCCATTGTTTCTCGCCGGCGCCTGGGATCGAACCCAGGACCACAGGATCACAAGTCCAGTGTGCTGTCCGCTTGGCTGACCGGCTCCCTCAGCCGGTCAGCCCTCTCCCTCCCTCCCTCCCTCCTGTAGTTTAATATTGACATCATCTATGCATTGGTCTCAGTATGTTAGATGTGTTGCTTGGGTTCAGATGTTTCTGGTTCAGCAAAATAGTTGCATTTGTTACATAGCAGCAGATATTTGTCCAATTACCCTACTGAAAACATCCAATTTTGTCCTGGCAATATTTCTCATTTGGTGGAAGCATGTTGAAGAGCCTTGGGCTCTTCATGTTCTGATGTTCATAGTGTTTTCTCTGTACTTATGGCATTACTATCACAGAGCTAATCCAATGCTTTTAATCATACCTTTCTAGTATATTTTACTGTGCCCTTGGTCTTGGTTTTACTTGGTCATGTCTAAAGACATGACCAAGTATTTCTCACATAATATTGTAATCACTCTTGTCTCCTTTCCAGAGAGTACATTTCAAGTGCTTTGTAACATTCCACTAATTTAGGGGCTTTATTTTTCAGTGTGTGCAGTGTATGTTCTCAGTGTTCCTTCTATTTCAGAAATCTTTCCTACAGCCAATGGAGAGAAAAATTTGTTTAATATGCTTTTTAACAATATTAGATTTTTTTTTTAAGTGAACATAGTTCCAAAATACTGACCCATCTTAATGGTTAATTAGGAAAAAAAAAACTAAGGACTGTAGTGATGCAGATCTTGACAAACTCGAGGAGTGTGCAGATAAATGTTTGATAAAATTCAATGCAAATAAATGTAAGGCAATAAAGATGGGATAGAGATGAGAGATTTGTAGGTAACTACACCATAAGGGGGAAAAGGAATTACATGAAATAAGAAGCCATACATGGTAGTAGTAGATGTAATGCCAATACTAATACCATAAACTCACATCAACAGAATAATGCCAGCAAACATAAGAATTCTTACATTTAAGAATGTAAACAAAAAGGTTTTCAAAAAGAGGACGGGCAAGAGGACATTAAGGGAAGCTGTATATATAATCGAATCACAGACATGTACTCTTTTGGCAGTTTTACTTGGTTATAGGGTTAATCTTCGCCCAAGTCCAGGAGTACCCTCTCTCTAGTCTCGTCTTCTGGTGTGTGGGTTTGATCATATCTACAGCCACATTACTGTGACTCATCATCTGCACATACTCTTCTTATCTTGAAGATATCAACAACATGTGAAACAAGATATTCAACAACCTTACCTGGATCGAACATTTTTCCTGGTGCGCACCACAATATCGTGCTCCCCGCTCACCACAGTCTTTATCACTAGGTCAGCAATTCGAGTCCACAGAGCTGATGTGTCGACACCTCTGGCCTGAAATAAAACGTGTAGTCCATCAGTATTAGCAATGGACGATATGGAAGAAAATGCAGAATAGAACCAGTGAAGAGCAGGGGTGCCATAGGCACAATCAGAGAACACTGTATAAACATCAGAGGTCCACGGTTGTTCAACACCCTCTCAGCGAGCATAAGAAATATTGCCACAACAACCGTGGACATCTTCAAGAGGAAACTAGATTGTTTCCTCCAAAGAATACCGGACCGACCGGGCTGTGGTGGGTATGTGGGCCTGCGGGCCGCTCCAAGCAACAGCCTGGTGGACCAAACTCTCACAAGTCAAGCCTGGCCTCGGGCCAGGCTTAGGGAGTAGATCTTAAAGAACCCCATCAACCAAGTAATGGCTCAAGTTCAGACATAACTATTATAAACATGGTACTTTTAATTCCTTTCAATTATCTACATCTGGATTAATTTGGGACAGCTGAAATGCATTTCTAGTTATTGTATAAGCAAATATACTAGACCATATTAAACAATATGTACTGAGCAATTTATCAACATACTGCATGATAATGATGATGATGATATTTTATTATATATATATATTTATTTATTATTTATTTATTTTTAGGGGTACCACCACTGGTGCAATTGAAGGGACCCACATCCTCAAAGAAGAAAATAAAGTGTGTTCAGAGAAGACCTTGTGGATTCTCACTAAACACTGTAGCACATTCAATATATATCTTTTTTTTTTTGGTAATTGTGTATAGTTTTCAGTTATTAATGTCTAATGATAATAATTTCAGAGATAGCTTGGGCGAAAAATCCTCATTTAATCGAACATTTCTGTTCCAATGAACGATTTACACATTACACAGCACCTAATAGGGGCCTCGTAGCCTGGTGGATAGCGCGCAGGACTCGTAATTCTGTGGCGCGGGTTCGATTCCCGCTCGAGGCAGAAACAAATAGGCAAAGTTTCTTTCACCCTAAGTGCCCCTGTTACCTAGCAGTAAATAGGTACCTGGGAGTTAGTCAGCTGTCACGGGCTGCTTCCTGGGGTGTGTGTGTGTGTGTGTGGTGTGGAAAAAAAAAAAAGTAGTTAGTAAACAGTTGATTGACAGTTGAGAGGCGGGCCGAAAGAGCAAAGCTCAACCCCCGCAAAAACACAACTAGTAAACACACAAACTGTTCAGACTATAGAGGAATTCTTAGGAGTGCAATTCATTAGAGCAAGAACCCCCCTTTAACAAGATTAAAAAAAAAAATTATAATCGGTTTTAAACAATTTCATAACCTCTACATTAAAGCTAAGCCTGTGAGTTACCACCCCTACAAGCTTAATACCTGATTGATACCTGCTTGATGGGGTTCTGGGAGTTCTACTCTCCAAGCCCGGCCCGAGGCCAGGCTTGACTTGTGAGCCTTGGGCTGGGAAAGCAAGCAGGGAAATTCTCCACTAATTCAATAACTTACCTTCAAGTAACCCCAAAGAGACTTTATAGTCCACTTGTGTCCCTGACACTGTCCAGCATCAACATTGTGTGTGTATGACGAGGAGGACTTGTTGACGCTGTAGTTTGTCAGGTGCATGTATCGGTCATTCAAGCTTGTGGATGCATTATTGTATTGTACTGAAAAAATAAAATGGTGGAAACTACATGCATTTTAAATACAAATTCCCATTCCCCTATGCTAGTATATCTCAACAGAGATTTATTAGTATATTATACAGTAATTTATCTCAATATATACATACATATTCCTATATTCTTTCAATTTATATGCAGTAAAAAGTATCGTAACCATTACATTGCAATATTTGATTAGTGAAACAAATTAAGGTAATTTGCTGCAATAATGAACTTTTCTCTTCATGCCTAGAAAATAATTTCAAAGTACAGTACTTTGAAATTATTTTGACTTGACTCTGCAACGTTTGACTTGGACTCCAGGCCTACAAAACTGATATCTAGACTTGGTACATGCTGCTATCTCCTGATAACTGAATTATACGTCAAGCCAAACTGTACCATCTGACTAGTAACCCACACATCCAAAAAGGAAGAACCGATGATGTTCCGGCCCATTCTGGACCATAATCAGGTCGTGTAGTAACTGAAAACACTGTTGAAGTGTTTACATCACGGCTTACAATCGTTTGTCTTATTACCTTCAGATACTTTATTCACTTCAAGAAGTTGCTAGATTTGGTGTACTTAAAACTTACTATTTATTGCCTATTTAACTTTCTTACTATTAACTAACTTACTATTCTTGCCTATTTATTGCCTTTAACTCCTTGCCTCATCACAATCGACTTGAGAATGGTCCAGGACGGATCGAAATGTCGTCATCCCTTCACTTTCTAGTGTGTGGTTTGGTCAACATAAAACTTACTAATAAGGCTTTTTTCTCGATTTTAAGCCTATATCTGATAGCCAAGTTCTCCTTGCCTTAGAGAGCCAGATTCTAATCATAGACCTAGTTAAACAAAGCTGCATCTCAAGAGGCCTGGTGAATTTCCCCAAGGCATGGCTGGACCAGGATTAAACTAAAAGGCTACTAAGAAGGCCCTCCTAGAAAAATATATTTTTAGACCAAATAACCTTGTAACTCACCTGAGGCAAATCTAACAAGTCCATCTTGATAGAGATATATTCTTAATGGATGGAAGGATGTTACTAATACATAAATACGGATGTCAAATTTGGTATCGTTGATGAGGTATGGGCGGCTAATATATCTCTGAACCACTACGGGTGAATCAGTAGGCACTTGTGACCACTTATGGACAACCTGAAACGAGAAAAATATAACAGTAAGGACTCGGGAGAGTGACGATCATAATGGATCCAATGGAATCCTTTCATATAAAAGCTCTAGATCTTGTTTTTTATGTAGGAAATAGCACATGTATAAAAGTTAATGGTGTCAAAATAAGTGACAGGTTTCCTATAGGAATATGTCACAGTTATGTTAGGTACATATTGTATTGGAAATGAAGAGGTCATGAAGGATGTCAAGGTTTCAAAGTTGGAGAAGGATGCAAACCTAATTACACAAAATTCACATTAGAAATGGATCTCATCATGGAGAATGAAGTAAGTAAATGTCACATTAAATTTGCAGCAAATTAAGTATTTCTTTCAGAATACTGAGACACCGAGAATATGTGTACGTCACTTCTGACAAACACTATCATATAAATGTAACAAATATAAATACATACCCACTCCTTACTCCCAACACCCGCCAGCCCCCTCCCAACACCCGCCAACATTCATCAACCCCCTCCAAACATCCGCTAACCCTCTAGATGCCTGCCAGCAGATAACAGAGGCAACTAGGAATAAAAATACTTTGCCACACAAGGAATATAACTGACTGCAAAGAGAACAAAGTCTGCTTGAAATATATTCCTTTACAGAAAATCGAAAAGACAGCAAACCTTGAAAGAACACAAACAACACTATAAAAGAATGAAATGAGTAACAAATGCTTGACAATGACAAAAGATGACAAAACATTTATGAAATCCCAAACATAATGAGGCCATGATTACCTGCCTCAATAAACATGAAAGTGGAAGATCCAGACAGCCTCTTTATGAAAAATACCCACAACTTGGACTATACAACTGAAATAAGCATGAAAACAGAAGACTTTTGAAGGAGTAATTGACAATATGGCCATGAACTCAGCAGTGGGTCCCAACTCCTGGAACTCCATACTTAGGGAGAAAAAAAGTTTCGATACCGACAAGATATCAAAATCAATGTTAGAAATAGCTCCACTCTACAAGGAAGTTAGCAAAGTACTGCAGTGCCTAAATATTATAGACCAGTTGCACTAACATCACACATAATTCATGTTTTGAACAAGTGATTAGGAATCAAGTCTCCAATTTTATGGAGAAAATTGATCTTCCCAACCCAGGTCAACATGGTTTTAGTGGGAAGATCCCATCTTTCACAACCATTGACAAAATAATTGAGGCATTAGAGGAAAAAATGCTCTTGTTGTTTACAGGGACATTGCAAAAGTCATTTGACTGATGTGACCATGGAATGATAGCCCATAGTGCAGTGCAAATCCAAAAGTGGTAAGGAAGACACGATTGAGAAAATACCCAAACCAGGGAAGAATGGGACTGGGCCAAAGAGTATCCCATACAACAAAGTACACCACATGCACATCTACTGGCAAAGCCAACTGGACCCGACTTAATGGCTTACTGTGAAAGGGCCAGAGCAAAGTACCCCAAGCAGCCAACTTAATAACACAAGAAATGCTCTAACCAGAAAAAAGAAAGAAGAGATGCAGCAGTTAAGAAAACTGGTATTCCCCGACACCTATATCTCGACCAAGAACAGAACCTTACTGCAACAAAATACAACCAAGAGGTGGCAGCCAAAGAAAATAAAGAAGACAGCCGCCTTAGTGTATATATATAATAAGACACAGGAGATGGACTACATGAAAAGGAATCAAGCAGTTAAATACGAAAGGGAAAACGCTCACCAGCATGCCAATCATACCAAAATGAAGGTAGCCATCACCTCCCAAAAAAGCCACAAGCAACTTGGGCAACACCACTGCAAGTACGAGGGCTGCATCTCCCACCACCAAAGTCAATACATCCAAGCCACCCTGGTGAAAACCTTTAAACCACAGCCCAGAACATTCAAGACACCTGGGAAATGGAACCCACCACATGTCATTTGCATCATCAGGTACAGCAAAAGCAGGGCAAGCCCCTAGGGATGTAACAAGGCAATGTCCTTGTTATCCAGAAGGAATCTCACACCACAATCAAAAAGAAGAAGCAGAAAGAGAGGTCTTGAACTTGAAGGAGTTGAAACAATACTCCAAACCACCACAAGCTTCGGAAACTTCCACACATACAACAAATCCAAGGACTAACAAAATCCACAAATGTATATACAGAGGAATAGCCACAAAAGGTAACAGCGACCAAGAGATGAAGGGCACCCACATACTGACCCCAGCCCCACTGGAAAGTCTTCAATTTCCAGTGAGGTGTAAATGCATCTGGCATTGATCCTTGGCAGAGCCAGTATCCATGCAAGATGCCTGTGATGTTCATCCCCTCACAGGGAAGGATCCATGCTTCAACCTTGTGTAAACACAAAGCCCCCAGAACTGATGGACCCCTGATGGGAAAAACACTGGGTTAACTGCCTGTCACCAACAAGGAATGGCAATTTCCAGAGATGGAACCCAATCCCCAAACCTTCCAACCATGACATCAGGACCTGAAAATGGTCAGAACCTGGTTAGAAGAGAAAAATGGGCCAGCACACAACACCAGCTAGGTCAATAAATTATTACTAAATCAATCGGCATAAACTTAAACACAAACTCAGTGAGTGCAGATTCAACAAGCATATCACAGCCAAACCACATCAAAGACCTGCAGGAGTTTTCCAGGCCCTGATGGTGAAAACATGACAAGGACATCAGGTATAAGTGGCCATTCCCCCAACATACTCCAAAGCAACAGAGTAGAAGCCTGCCTTTAAAAGACAAGCATGGGTAACTATTGTGGGCCTGCAAGTAATCATGACTTCCCCAACAATGAACCTTGCAGAAGAGCCACAGCCCCTCCACAGGAGGCAGACATTCTTAGGGTTGAAAATGGCTAAAGTGACTATAGGAGCAAATACTAATTTTGCCTCACCAGACTGAAAAGCAACACCAGGCAGTGCAACCATCTGGAGGTGGGCAGTTGCTAATAAAGAATTAATTATCCAAATACCAAGTGCTTCATTTTCAGAGTTGTTTAGATTTGCCTCGCTGATGTCTGTTTTGTTTCACTCTTATCTGGTGGCTTATTTTTCAGTTGGGGAAATAAAAAATCCCATGCTCCCTGTGCCTCTGTGAGGGGGCCAGATTTTAGCCTCTGCTCCCCCAGTAGGCTTTAAATGGCTCACAAGGGCTGATGTGTCCGATACACTTGGAGCTATCCAGGCGGCTACCAACAGGGAGCCACCTTGGAGCCCTCCCCATGAACAATTTACAGTATTCTCACAAATTCATGAGATATTCTTAGTGAAATCTCATCAGTACCATGAATTGCAAAAGTCAAGATAAGGCAAGCCCAAGATAAGGCAAGCCCAAGATAAGACAAGCCCGAGATAAGGCAAGGCTACACCTCAACAGCAACAAAGCCAGACAGGTGTATGCGCGCACACAAAAGTCTAGGCTCGCTCATCCCTGACAACTCCAGAGATGCTTACGTGCCCATAAAACAAATTGATGCAAAACTAAAGGATGTTTAGCAGAATGTTTTGAATTATTGAGGACAGGAATAATTGAGGTTAAGCTTATTGTTGTCCCTCCAGGAAAATGACCGACCTTCCCTAGAATGTAACGAACAATAATCTTTTAACTTCCAGGTACATATTGAACAAAGGCATCAAGAGTAAGGAAACGTGACCAAACATCTCGACCTGCCACGAATTAAATTTGGGTTCAATCTGTTGTGGCAAGTTAACTTCTACGAGTAAATTACCGAGTACAGTAATAACTTTGAGAACTCGGCCTCAAGTGCTGCAAGTTTGTGCACAGTCCAAAGTAGAATATGTAATTTAAGCACTTTTACACACACAACCAGGCTACTGGGCTACCCACAACTGTTCTTACTCTTAAACTAAAGAAAAAGTACATTAAAAGGTAAACTTGTCGAAGAATCTTTGAAACCTTTCATCACCAAGCAGGTAGCGAGGCAGTTGTAACCAATTCCAGTCAACCAAATCTCTCAACGTGACAGGATTTTTAACAGACATGACCTAGGAGGTATAGGCTGTTATGTCCTCTGGCACATCTTGGTCACAGAAAAGCTCAAATTACAGCAATAACAGCAGAGTAACCCCTGCTAGTTCAGTACTCACATTCAAGGTTTAAAAGACACAGCGGATTACCTCAAGAGGTAAAAATAGCAGACTAACTGACAAATCAATTCCGAGCATGTAACTGTTGTGGAAGTCCCGGTCGAGACTTCATTCATAGAATTGGCATTAAATTTCTTACCTCCATGGTGAGGGATCCTTCAACCACAACACCTTAAGGGCAGGCTCACAATCTCAGTTCGGTCCCCAACACACAGTAGTAGGGGGTACCTTTCTCAGTGATCCAGCAGGTTCAAAGTGCTTGTCCCTAGAGGATCTTCCAGGGGAAGACTTGTGAGCCTGGTCACCAACCACACAAGCCTCAGGGGGGAGAAGAAAACTTCCATGAGGGTTTGGATCAACCTTCACTTCCCTGCGCACCATCCACCGCGGAGCCCCACAAGGGTAGATTGAATGGCTGATAAAATAATTTCTCTAGCACCACACTGGTGAGGTCATTAGCGCCGAATAAATACAAATATTGTATGGCAAAATATTAACAACTCAAATTTGGAAATAAATACTAGAACAGTAAATATTCACCAGGATTAGGACTGAATACTGTGTACAGTACAGCACTCCCAATCAAATGGACGCTGGGGATCAAATGTTCTGTCCAAAATTTCTGTTCTGTTCTGTCCCAAATTCCATTGCACCTACTGTCAGAATAGGCTCAACCATTTTCCTTTTTCATTGTTACCGTTAACAATATAAAAAATATTTACACTGCTAATGTTATAACCCATCAAAAACATGTATTTATAAATACAATACAGTGCACCTTGAAAAATCTAAATTTCTATATAACAAATCTCTCATTTTCAACATAAAATTCACCCACTGGTTTTCCCTCCAAAACTTGTATTTCTCAGAAAAAATCCAGATTCTGGAAAATGAGAAGAAAACCAGATTGGCAGTTCATCACCAAGTAATTTCCCTTAAACTTTACTTTTTTTTGCTAAGTTTGCTTTTTATTTGTAAATAATATTCAAAAACTAAACAAAAAGAGGAGGAAGATGGAAGAACAAAAACATGGAAAATGTATTGGAGGGGACCCAAAAATCTCGTCTAGTGTGTGTGTGTGCTTTTCTCCAAGGCTATGAGTCCCCTTCTTCCAGTCAGAGGTGGTTACCCCCTATATTTTATTCGGAACATTATTTTACAAATGCTTTGCCAAGTGTTTACCGTACAATAACTTATCCACAAGAGTATGTTGAGGCGAGTTTTCTGTGGTGTCCAGACATACTGTGATAGCGCGCACACCTACCATGTGTTTTCCTGGTGTGATTGACTTTCATTACTCAAGCATTTTCATTGACTTTTCTCTTGATATATTGCTATTTGCAAGTAAAAACTGTTGTTCAGCAAGACTAGTATAGGTACATTACTCAAAGGTAAAAAAAAAACTACCTTACTATGGATAAAAAGGCCGAGTTAATAAAGAAATGCAATTATGGCTGTGGAGGTAAGTGGCTAGCAGAAGACTATGGCTTTAGTACTAATGCCATTTGATAAAAGAGAGAGCAAAGCAAACAGAACATGTAGTTTGAGCAAGACAGATAATAGTGCTAAGAATAGTAATACTGAACTGAAACCTTCTAAGTACAGTACATACAGCACAGTACAGATTCAGATGGGTTATAAAACATTATAGCCTGGGACTGGCTGTTGGCAGTGCACAGTTACAGCCCGTACCTGAAGTAATGGCACGAAGCAGTGGCAGTGAAAACATCAAGGAGGTTGCAGAAATTTATACCAGATAGTATTACATACCATAGTAACAAATTTTGCTGCCACTGATTACCTACCTACCTTGTGATGGTTCTGGGTATCAATGTCCCCGTGGCTCACAGTACGACTTATAAATAACAGTCCAGTTTATCGAGTATCCTTTGAGGTGTTTCTTGTGTGCTTTCAAAATCATAGTTTATATATCATGTCAAAATATATACCGTACAAGTATATATTATATCATTTACTATAAAAAAATAATTTGGTAATAGCCAAACAGGTAATTTTGTTTTAAGTCCAGATTTCAAGTAAATCCAAGCAGAGTTTGTAAAGTTATTATCCAGATTTGAGGGTGCACTGTACTGCATTTAAGAATAAATTTATTTACTTGTCACTGGAGTGAAGTAATTAAAACAGCATTTTATGTAGTAAAATACCTCTTTCTGATGGTACATTCAGATAGCTCCACACATCTCACCACGACCTTGCAAATCACTAAATGCTTACTGGAGACCAAAGCCAAATTCCTGGTCCATTCAACGAGGCACAGAAAAAATATGGATGCCAGCTCATCTTAACCGAGATAATAAGCCATCACAGTCATAACAAAGCAGACAGCATGGTAAATATGAACAATTCTAAATACTGTACGAGATACAACAGTTAGGTCCATTCTTCCATTAGTTACACTCCACCACCACCAACAGGTGGCAATACTGTGGGCTCCTGGGTCACCCAGAGCAACCCCTCAGTCAGGTGCCGACCAAAGACAACCGACACACTTGAAAGGAAGAATCTGAAAGACCTGCCAGATAGAGGCCTTTTCATTACATCCAACACTGGTTTTCTGGGAGGGCTACTGCGGTGGCTCACTGTTACTATCTCACCACAGAAAATAAAACAAGTAAGACCTACCAGAGGGAGAGCAGAAGACCAGAACCCTCGAGGGGAAGCAGCAACAGGTAACCCTACCAAACATAATAAAAGCCCAATGAAGCTCCAGCACATTATTAATGTGCTGCCAACATCTGTTACAATAACAAAAAAATCCAGAGCCCAAATATCAATCCATGACATAACTGAAACACACATTGTCAAATAACGAACATCATGGGGTTGAGGGCAGACTGAGTGAACCTGACAGCAATGTGGACACCCTGGAACAAAAGGCCTTGGAACAAAGAGCAAAGGGCACGGGTTCACAAACATCCTGGGTGTCCCGAGTGGTGCACAAATAATAGGATCACCGCAACTGGACAACAACTGATGTACCACCCAGCTCAACAAAGTCAACAACCAACAGATCCATCTGGAAGTCTGCCATCTCATTCTTTGACAAAGGAAGGAGTAGACTGTAGACAAAGATACTGCCCATCATGGACAAAAGAACAGAATCCTCGCTTCAGAAGTAGACCACGAAGCTCCCCAAGTACCTGACACCCAGAAGCGAGAGCCAACAAAAATGCCTTGGTAAAAAAAAAAAATCTTTGCCTGAATGGATGACCAAGAACCTAGCAAAGAAAAACCAAAACCTGATCTAGAGATAAAGAGAGTAAACCATCTTTGGGCTGAAAGAAACAGATCAATAGATGAAGGTAGCCAGTGGAGTGAGAAAGGCGGAAGCCCAGGGCTCGAGGAAGGAGGAACTCTGACAGGAGAAGCACTCATTAGTCACAAATGTCCAGTGAGGGCAGCTAACACCTGGCTAAACTGCCAGAAACCACGAACCCAAATAATAGCAAAAACAGTAATAGCAGCATACATGCCACAACCTTTCAGTCAGGAGTTAAGAAAAACACTGGCTAGAGGAGCAGACTACTCCCCAAATACCTAATAAAAAAGCAGGAAGCTCCTGCCACAGTTAGTGCCTGATAAATTACCCTTGAAGGGAGCAACAGGAAAGGAAACTGGGAAGCGAACAATATAAAGGACAACCAAGGGGACCGTCAGAGGTGATCTAACACAGCACGATGATAAGTTTTAAGTGCTGCAAAGAAATTTGTTACCATATAACAAAAGTGCAGAGCAAAAAAAAAAGAAAACGGGATCTCAAAGTATGGGAACCCAACCTCCAAAGTGACTGTACTGAAAATATTTTCAAAAAGGCCCATTAATGGAGAACTTCTTTCCCTTGTAAGAATTTAAGCTACAGTGGGCCAGGGATAGCAACAGGCTGGACTGCTGAAATTTGAAGAGAAAGCTTCCAAACCCTGAGCAGGGATCTGAACATTGACAACATCCAGTTCAAACTGGGCTGAAGAAGAAAAAAAACAATTACAGCATACTACACTCATTTTTGTTATACCTGGAGCAATAAATAACAAATTTCCATCTTCTGTAACAAAGGAGGGCATACTGGGAGTATCTGTGGTTATCAGGGTGTGTGCAAAATGGTTCAGGTAAGTTTTTAAATTTTGAGATATTGGTAAAGTTCCACTCATTCCCAAACAATTTTTTAGACGATTTTCAAACGTGCCACCAGGAAGCTCGTGGCCCAGTGACACAAGTGGCCCTTCTACAGATACCTAATTACGTACCTCAAGAAACTTTGCTGTATTTGACAATCATTAAATTGAGTTCTTACAAGTACACCTTACTGGTTTCTGCCAGGTACAGTCTCTCACTCACCTGTATACCCGTGCCTCTAGCTGAAGCTGGGGGTTTAACGATCCATTTCTTCTTAACACCCTCCTTATCAAAAGCAGCTTTCAAAGCCTTCATGTCCCCCGGAAGCACAAATGTCTTGGGAATAAAACCAAACCTGAAAATATACGGCATAATTAAAACAATCATTTAAATTATTGGTGTGAACCAAATACTTTATCATACTGTCTTGTGACTATATATATTAACAATTTATGAAACCCATATCAATTAAGATGCAAGTAAAATGTGTGCATGGTAAAATCAATAGGGTGCAGCTATCTATGGCAAAATAAGAGCATCAAATGTAACGAAACACTACTTTTATATCGAACTCTCAGCGACTCTCTGAGCTATAGCACCGATTCACACGAGTTGTCTTCAACAATGAAACAACTGACATTTTTAGAGGCCTACCAAAACTACAGGGCCATAATCCAAATTACTCAAACGAGGGAAGCATAGAGATTTCAAAACGCCCAACACCAAGGTTAACAGTATTACACTTGCTGTGTTTAATGAGTGTTTATCATTAACAGTCTCAAAGCATGTCAACAGATATTTAGACATAGCCAAACCTCCCATATTCAACACGAGGTGGTAGTCAGGTCCCCGGCATAGGTGGAGGGGTGTCGCCAGCTAGTCTATAATAAATTACGAGCCATTCATTACATTCCCCCTATTTTATTTTAGTATTGAAACCCCCTCAGTGGCTTTTCTGAGCCACTGAGGGGGTTTCAAGCACAACAGTGCTTCTGTAAATTTTTTTTTTTTTTAAACCAGAGTAATAAAGTGTGTGGGCTATCACACTAAACATCAATAATCAATGCATAATGAAAGGCATATGAAACCACAGAACTTTATAAGCTCCATTCCTTAAACACCATTCAAAGCCATAACCAAGAGCAGGTATGAACTGCCAATACCAGAGGAGTTATGACCAAGTGTACATAAAAAATTACAGTCTTAACTGCATCAACTCCTTAACACTAGATCTTGTTACCTAAACAAGTTCAAAGCACTAACATAAACAGGGGTAACTCAAAAGGGGTAAACCCTTGAGAAAAATGTAAATCCTCAAAGAAGTTAACTTAGGTTAGCATGAGCATCACAAACAGGCTAGTTATCTTGAGATGATTTCGGGGCTTTAGTGTCCCCGCAGCCCGGTCCTCGACCAGGCCTCCACCCCCAGGAAGCAGCCCGTGACAGCTGACTAACACCCAGGTACCTATTTTACTGCTAGGTAACAGGCGCATAGGGTGAAAGAAACTCTGCCCATTGTTTCTCGCCGGCGCCTGGGATCGAACCCAGGACCACAGGATTACAAGTCCAGCGTGCTGTCCGCTCGGCCGACCGGCTCCCCAAACTAGCTATGAAACAACCCCTAAATGAATGCCAGGCATGATTAAAAGTTTAATATCACACAATGTGACTGGCAAACACAATCATGAAGCATAAATCAAGATACTGTACTGTATAAATGTAATGAAACACCATTTTTCTGGTGGGCAAGACCAATTCTTGCCTAATGAAGCCAGAACAAAAATCCTGGCTCACTATGACACAAGGTGAGCTTGAGGATCAGATCAACTTAAAACCAATAAGATATCTACCAGGAAGCATATGTGCAACAAAACAAGCGATTGCTTAAAAGAAATTAGTAACCCTCGGGTAAACATGACAAATGAGTGTTGCTCTGTCGTAAACAATGTTACTGTTATAAGCCTAACTGCCACCAGATGGCAGCTCAGGTCACCCAGGGTCTCGGCCAGCCTGCACCCTCAATAAAACGCTGAACTTGTTGGGGTTCATGTTTTCATTTAAGCAATGATTTGTTTTGCTGCACCTATTGCTTTCTGATGGGTTTAATTCTGGTTTTGGATTGATCTCCGATCCCCAAACACTTCTTCACTACCTAGGGTGAACCAGATTCTGGTCCTGGGGCCAGATTCACGAAAGAACTTACGCAAACACTTACGAACGTGTACATCTTTCCTCAATCTTTGACGGCTTTGGTTACATTTATTAAACAGTTTACAATCATGAAAACTTCCCATTCAACTGTTGTTATTGTTCTAAACAGCCTCCTGGTGCTTCGGAGCTCATTAACTGTTTAATAATTGTAAACAAAGCCGCTAAAGATTGAGAAAAGATGTACAGGTTCGTAAGTGTTTGCACAAGTGCTTTCGTGAATCTGGCCCCTGGTTTCCAGGAGGCGACAGATGGCTCTCAAACACTTAGTGTGGGGGATCTGAGGCTTGGTATCTGTCTGACAGATGAGAATGTATGCTAGTTATTGTAAAAGCACTACAATCACCTACTGTGGTCAAGTGCTCAATAACTCTTTACACTATGCAATGTCTAACATCTCTATTCCTGTCCATGTAGGACAGAACAAAAAATATATATGCTGGTTGGTATTGGCTACATCTTTGGTATGAAAAATGAAAAGTGCATTAACAATATTTCAAGGAAATATACATACAGTTCTGTAAATATGAACACTAGTCTCTCCCCACATTTATGAGATGGAAAAGCATCAGGCTAAAGAAAAAATTTATTCTAAAAACAGAGATATTAAGTATCACTCGTTCATTCATTGTATCATTCATATGAAGCAAGTCACAGTAACAATGCTGAAACAAATAACATACTCAACACAGGAAAATAAACTGACAACATTTCAGTCCATCTAGGACAGACCAAAATGTCGTCACTTTCATTTTATTTTGTACATGTTGGTCGAGTTACTTATCACTAACACTATCCAATCGACTCTAAATACTGAATTACATTAAACTTACTCATCCTTCCCAAATTTTGTCTGAAGTCGCACAAAGTTCTTCCATAGTTTATCCTTTCGGCCAATTTGGAAAGTACCCGGGAAGTGGTTAATCTTCTGAAACTCTCGCACAGCTTTAAAGCAAGGCGACTTCATGTGCTTGCCCCAGGTACCACACCACTGCAACGTTTCTAATCACGAAGAAAAAATATCAAAATTTTTTATTTTCCTTAAATTTAATATAGTAAATTCATACAATGCTTGAAACTAAAAAACACAGCCTTAAATTTGTATTATTATCATTATATTTTTATTATTATTATTTAGAAAGCTATATGAAGCTAGTAAACACTTAAAAAATAACTTTACTAACTCTTTGTTATCCTGAATCCAGAATTCGATATGGTTTTTCGAACAATGAGCGGTGTGATATTTGTAAATCGCCATTTAAGTAGTCTCCCAATAACTAGAGGAAATTCCACAGTTTTCTCATTGTACTGGCAGAAGTTTATTGATGGCGGAACATGCGAGAACAGACTAGGACTCAAGGACGGGAGAGGAGAAGGCGCTGGAGTTTCGGCATATAGTAATGAGCCTGCAAAAATAAATATCAAATATATAAATGTCAATGAATTTCATGATAATTGTGTTGATCAAATCAATTTTAATCTCGGCCTATCGGCAGAGGATGATGAGGCTGCTTTTGGCCGAGGTTTCACTACTTTATAAAAAAACAAACATTTGTCTACACATTTAACATTATACAACACACCAATAAATGTATACATAGCCTGCAGTAATTATTTCATTCGTTAAACTTACCATCTTCATTTGCTGCAACTCCATGTTCATTAATACATATTGTGTTGAGAGCCTCGCTTGCAACAGATCGCAGGGAACACGTCGACCCAACTGTCACACAGCTTATTACACTCTGATCATCTGAAAAATATTTGATTTGATCAGATACAAAATTATTGAATATTTTATATTGAGAATATTTAGACTTCACAATCAATTGTAGTGTGTTTACAGGAATGAGTGTGAAGTTATGCTATAGCCTCTTGTCATGTGTAACGATTAATAAATTTTGTGTTTTATTAATTATTGTTTATGAACACACATGCTTATATGCTTTTGAATCTGGGCACACAGTTGTGATTAGTTGGATTAATTTAGAATTCTGTAGATGGTAATAGATGGCAAAACCATCGCAAACATCAAAATCTTAAATGACAAGGATTACAGACAACACAGAGCATAACTTTCATCCTGTAATTACACAACATACACACAGATATACACACACACACAGGCAAATATGCAAATAGAGTAGACTTATCAAATTATGAGGGAATAAGGAATTCAACCTACCTGGAGACGACAGACCTGTACATAGGAGTTAAGGGGAGCTGTTCTCGAGACATGACGTGACTACAGTTGCTCGAGATATAACAATGGGTTATGAACATTGCAACTACTATGGCACATCACCTGCCTTGCATCCTGACAAACTGTAAGCAACCTCTACAGTGAGGTAGAATTATTCACTACTAACACCTCTATTGGCAACAGAGGTAAATATACTTAATAGTTCCTACGTTTCACATTACTTGTCTGATAACAACTATGGATTATATACATCAATAGTTGTGTTGCATAATTCTATGTATATACACTAGGAGTAAATGTGGAGTAGTGACACCTCAAGCAGTGTCAAGGAGTTACTTCACTTCTCTTTACCAGAGACAGTGCACCGTTCCTACACAAAAATTGGGGTCCTCGCAAAATTGGGAGCACAAACTAGAAGGTGAAGGGACGACGACGTTTCGCTCCGTCCTGGACCATTCTCAAGTCGACACAATCGACTTGAGAATGGTCCAGGACGGACCGAAACGTTGTCGTCCCTTCACCACCTAGTGTGTGTTCTGGTCAACATACTTCAGCCACGTTATTGTGACTCATCGTCTGCATACCGTACCAAAATCGACGACATACAGGATTTTAACAAATACATAAAACGTGTGCCTTTTAAAACCGATATTTGCCAATGAGACTTTCCACAGGCAAATACTAACAAGGTGCATCACTCTTATCCACTAATATGTTACTCACACTTCTCTGCATCACTCTTATCCACTAATATGTTACTCACACTTCAGCCAAACTGAATTTTTTCTACGCTTTGAACACTTACGAGGTTTATTATTCTTATGCACCATCCCCTGAGTCTTCATATGTCCAAGTTAGCCGAATATCAACTTGGACATATGAAGACTCGCGGGATAGTTCAGATTAGACACTTGAATGGTTCATCAAACATTTCTGGTTTCTCACACTTTCGTTAAAATACCGTAGTTGTATCTTGCTGATTTTTGGTTATGGGCATAAACTTTACAATTAATTTTATACAATTACAATTACATTTTGTAATTTATATAAATTGTAATTGTATACATTTTGTAATTTATACAAATACAATTACATTTTTTTTAACACTACAGGTACTTTCAAAATGGCTTCTTCCTTCTGGGTTACCTTCCTTACAGTTGGCTACAAATTAATCTGAAAATTTCTTTACCAAAAGCTTTTATTGACCATGTTCTTTATGCCATTTCTCTTTTCAATATTTAAGTCTGTCATTATATTTTGTCAGTTTTGCTCTGCACCAAAATGGTATTCAAACAGGTTCCTGTGTCCCGCAGAATTGTTATAAGATGAACTCGCAGCTTCAGCATCTTTGTCAAAATCTGTCGAGCCTACTTCCATTCCTAAATAAACAACATCTAGCACATTATGGCTATTTATTTTCCCTATGAAGTGTAGCATGGCATTTATTTTTAGTTTGTTGTATTCCCCAAGCGATTTGATGATCATTTTTATAGTCCAGAGACCAACGTTACATCATTTGATAAAGGCCTCCGGACACATCATATTATGTCTAGTATTACCCTTCCTAGATATTACCAGTGTCAGCATAACTTCGAGAATCCCTCATCTGCCTGAAAGGAATAACAGCCAAAATTCTTCATGTTAGAGAACATTTTGATAAAAATATTTTCCTTGCGATTCACGTAGGAGACTTGCATTTCCATATTGAAAATGATAGTAAAAGCCATTTTCAACAAATGGTCATTTTATCTACCGTATTATTATGGAAGATGTGCAGATGATCTAGCAATTTCTTTAAGACAGTTTACTGAAGATGCAGGACACAGGTTTTTAAGCCGCCGACGTCCAGAGACTGGCGATTGTTCAGGAAGCAGTGGACTTGGACTATATAGAAAGTTTTAAGATACAGTAATTTATTAAGTTTCAGTTGCCATCGCTGAGACTTTTAATATAAACATACATCATGTACTTATATTGATCAAATTTCTCAAACCATGTGTGATATAACTGCTAACACAATCTTTCAACAGCCTGTTGGATTTTAATGTGTTAAGGATTATTTTTATTATAGTGCCTATGATATAATACATACTGTACCTGAAGTATATTTCAGCATTTGGACATCATCTTGTCATCAGAAATACAAGACAGAATTGAGATTAACATAGGAGAGGTAAAAATATACCTGAAAGAACTGAAAGGAACAAAAGCAGTAGAACCAGACCAAATAACATGGGTACTGAATGAAGCTGCAAGATCTTGTGTTACCCGTTAACTAGAGCATTCAACATTACACTAGAGATCAGAGAGCTACCAAAACTCTGGAAATGGCGAATGTAGTTACAATATTCAAGAAAGGGGAACATGTAAAGCACTAAACTATAGACCAGTGTCATTAACACACATTCCATGCATGAATCTAGAATATATATTATTAACGAGAAAATCAATAAGAGCAATAAGGAGACTCGAACCAGTGATTAAGGAATGCCCAGACACGTACCTAACTCCTGTAACAGGTACAGTGGCGTCCAAGATTATACAACTTATAACAAGTCATGGTACAGGGGTAAGGTGTACAGCTGGGAGTTCCTTAATCACTGGTTCAAGTCTCCTCATTGCTCCTGCTCGATTGATCTTCTCATAAAACTTACCTTCGCCACAACTTTCATCGTCTTCATTATTAGTGAGGGTTAGTTCATCCTCCTCCTCTTCTTCCGAGGAATCCAGGTAGTTGTCATCATCTTCCAACTCCTCGGCAGGTTCACAAGAGCCATTAATATCTGCTGGGTGTAATACAGACACGTTGACCCCTACACCCGAACACCCTTCCGGTAACTGTGTCACATATTCTAAAGTTGCAGCACAATGTGGAGACAGTCCACCACTTCCCATTCCATTGAGTAAGGGTCTATGGCTTGGAAATATTCCAACTACTAAATTTTGTTCAGTCAAATCTATTTTACCGTTATTTTTACACTCTCGAGTACTGTCACTTCTGACACCATCACTGGTCAGTAGGCTGCTTAGATTATCACTATTACTATCCCATTTAGTACAAGAACAGGAGGGTTCCATACTTTGCGTATTTATATCTTGTCCTTCTAGTCTAGTTCTAACATTACGTTCACACAAAGGGGTAGGTTCCCCTTTAATACAACAGTCTGTAGGAGGTATGGCACTATCTTGACAGGTGGCTAATGATTCCATTGAATCCGACCCACTTTTGGTACGTTGACGTTTATTGTGCAGTGGGAATGGAGCATTTTCACTCTCCGCAACACCAGAGTTTTCAGGGCTGTGTCGTTTGCAAATAGCTTGCTGTGTTGAGTTTGAGGGTGGCCTGGTAGGAGACACATCCGAAACCTTCATAGTGTTTTGCTCTTGCCCACCTACCAAGGGGTTGAGGGGTGGCCGCTGTGAAGGCCACACACATGGAAGGCTGGACATCCTACCCTCACGCCAACATTATCTGCAAAAAATATAACAGCTGCTATTATGATGTGTGACAATCATTCCATGCACTTTCTCAGAGGAAGAGATTTTTCCGTTAACTTCAATTTTTAGTAAAAAGAAAGGCCAAAATTAATTCATTATTTTGTATGAAGCCAGATAGACAACCACACCAATGTGTACATCTCAGACATTACTGTGAATGGTTAAATATTTTGTGTGTATGTACACTAAAGGATTATTTTAAGTATTTAAATCCCAAGGCTTATCAAGTGAGCAGACGAGGAGTCACAATAACGTGGCTGAAATATGTTGACCAGACCACACACTAGAAAATGAAGGGACGACGACGTTTTGGTCCATCCTGGACTATTCTCAACTCGATTGTGTTTGAGAATGCCCAGTCTCACAATCGTCTTGAGAATGGTCCTGGACGGACCGAAATGTCGTCGTCCCTTCATTTTCTAGTGTGTGGTCTCGTCAACTTATCAAGTGAATGCATTAAACAATTTAAAAAAGGCTGAAACTTTTTTTTGCAGCCAACACAAGCAACTCAAGTCATGTGATTTGTGAAATATGTTCATATCATGATTTACATTTTGAGCTTGCTTGAATATCAGTGTTGAAGAATGTGGTTCCAATAGCTCAATGATGTCTCCTAGCAATCATGGAAGGCATAAAATAATTTGTAGACCTAGACGTACTGCAGCTTAGAGCCTGCACAACCATCAAAATGAGACTAACACTTACATGTCCAACGAAGATCATCACTGTACAAGAGTAATTTGATATTCCCCTTACATGTGCATTCCTCTTCCTCACTATGAGAAACTATAAGGTGAAAAGATCATCAGGGCAAATGGGGGGGGGGGGGGGACCTTTGACAAGCTGCCGGCTTCCTGTCCTCGTCAAGGCTACTAGTGTTAGTGGCCGTAAGATAAATTCAGGTAAATTATGTACATAGTACATAAACATAGTACAGTAATCTGGTTCACACTGCTGCTCCTGCTGCCAATGTTGTTGACGTCTACTCTATTTCCTGTTTGTCTTGTCCTCTCCAATATTTCGGTAAAACCGGCCACACACTGAATAACAGACTACAGTATTATAGTACTGTATAAATAATACTAAATTGTATATTGTATTATTTTGTGTTAAGTCTGCTGACACAAACAATGCTCCCTTCTGTCATGTTTGGGATATCATCTTATAGATTGGTCTTTAAAATAATTTTTCCTGCCACTATGCTTCACAGATGAAGTCTTATCAAATTGGCTCCGATATACAAAATGTCCAACACAAACACTAGTCCTGGCTGTGTTGCTGTTAACTCTTCCAGCAACTCCTTGTATGTTATCTATCACAGTACATACAGTACTTAAATGCTCTAACCTTCTAAAACATGATCTAACTTTGCTTCAGTGCCTCCATGCTCTCTTTTCTTTCTGTCCCTAATGTCACTAGACTTTTTTCTTTTTTTTTTCCGCCATTTGGCCTTCAGCAGGTTTCTTTATTACAGTATATTTTCCTTCTCATTTTTCTTACTTTTTCTTTCCTTTTCCTTCTCTTACACGTAACCATTACGAGTAAGTATTACGAATATCCTGTTGTCACGTGAATCCGCTGCATAGCAGAGGAACTGACTTTTCCCCCTCACCTTCAATGCCTCTGCACTGAAAGTCTACCTTTACACCAGCCCAGATGAGCCATCAGTCCTGCCACCTCTCCATACCCCCCAGGGCCTGGCACGGCCTGGTACGACTCAAGAGGCAAGCCGTGGTGGTAAGGTAGCTGTCTTCAGTACACCAGTATATCTTCATGCTTTGTATTCATCGAATTTCTTAGTTTATTTTTGCATTAATTTTCATATCTTTTTCACCTTTCCATTATATGATAGCCAAGTGTTTTCAGGTGCCATTTTTGTTCATTAATATTTCAGTAAATTGTTTTAATTATTTATTGGATGAGTTTCATTTGTTTCCACCCGCGACTTACACACTGCAAGGGTCAATAGCAGCATTTTTTTTTTTTTTTATTTATGTGAGGGAGAGCCATACCATCTTGGTTAAGTATAGCTGCGATACCACAACCCGTCACACTGTACTTTACCCAATTCTCTTATTTCTTACCCTTATTATCTTATTCTACTTTCATTTGTCTTTTTTTTTTAATTACACAGCTTAATAATAGCCCAGAATGGACCGAAACATCATCGGTTCTTCACTTTCACATTTCTGAATTATGCGCCAACTTCTCAGCCACATGTTACAATATTGTAACTCGTCAGCACATGAACACATCCTTCCCTACTGTATTTACCTTACATGTCCCCCCCTACCACCACCACCATCCCATGAACACATCCTTCACTATTTACCAGCTTCCCCCATAACTTTCCACAGCTCTTTCCTTTCTACAAAATAATTTCTTATTTCTTACAAAGTCCTCAAATCCATTTTCTCCAAGATTCTTCCTATATTGTTTCCCTCCCAAACATTATCCTTACAATCTTATTTACAATTACAGGTACTGCCATTCAATCTTTCTACTTACATCACTTTGTTCAGATTTCTGTAGCAATCTTTCTCCTTGCATCACTTTTCTTCAACAAGATTTCACTTTCAATCACCTTAAAACACACACACACTCACACCTAATGATTGTATGTTATCTATCAAATAAATTTGGGGTGACCTAATGTCTTTCCTGGATACAGTACCACTATTGTAGCAGGAACAATGTCTGCCACTCACCCATAAAGCTCCAGTCTCCAGCACTTATACTGGTAAGTGTTCCCTGATCTAACCCACAATTAACAACAGTATACAGGCTCTAGTTTTCTTCAGTGACAAGGCACAATGTGTATGAGCAGCGAGGCTCAATACAACTAGAAAAGCGAGTACAATACAGCAAGATGAACAGAAAAAGTAACTATGGGAGCCGGTCGGCCGAGCGGACAGCACGCTGGACTTGTGATCCTGTGGTCCTAGGTTCGATCCCAGGCGCCGGCGAGAAACAATGGGCAGTTTCTTTCACCCTATGCCCCTGTTACCTAGCAGTAAAATAGGTACCTGGGTGTTAGTCAGCTGTCACAGGCTGCTTCCTGGGGGTGGAGACCTGGTCGAGGACCGGGCCGCGGGGACATTAAAAATAAAAAAGCCCCGAAATCATCTCGAGATAGCCTCAAGATGGGAACTCGCACCCCCACCTTACCTTGCTGTTACCTTGCATTGATTGTGGGAGTCAAGGTCCCATGGCCCGGTCACTGACCAGGCCTCCTGGTTGATGGTCTGGTCAACCAGGCTGTTGGACATGGCTGCTCACAGCCTGACAGCCACACATAAAGGATCTGCCTTTAGTGACAAGTACAACACATTACGTGCTACATGATTAAAAATAAATTCACTTGTATGTAGGCCTTGGTGATCATAAGGGCAAGCAGTGGAAGAACACGGATAATGTTATCTGGTTCGGTGAAGATGTTATTCTTCATATGCCTTTAACATATACCAGTACTGCCACATAACACACAACTTCAGCATTAATTTCGACATGTGTTAGCGAACAATTTATCAAACATGATACACAACAAATTTTTTGTGCAATCCTAGTCATTTCCATGATGACTGTAAATGCAAAGCAGCATGGTATAAATAATAAATGATGCAAAGATGCCTTCATCCAGACCCATGTTCGGCAGTTACACGTTACCCATCAGATATCTGTGCCAGCATTTTCTACAACTTAAAAGCAGTAGAAAATCAGGCACGTCTTCACAAACCTGAATAAATAACTAGTAGAAATCTATTCTATAGAAGATTATATACAGTATGTTCGTGTCTATCCAAAGCTGGAGGCCAGACCCTTGGGGCTAGTCTCGCCAAAATTTGCAGGGAGAATGGTCTGGGAGTCTGGGTTGGACACAGGCTGGTTGGGATAGTTAAATTTTTTAAGAAATATTAGTAATTATGAAGACCCTCCCCCCCCCAGCAATTTTCATGGAGTCAAGTGTGAAATGTCATGTTTACCCCGAGGGTCACTAATACTAGTAGCCTCGACGAGGACCCCCAATCAGCCTGTGTCCAACCCAGACTCTCAGACCATTCTCCCTGCAAATTTTAGCGAGACTAGCCCCAAGGGTCTGGCCTCCAGCTTTAGAGAGGACACGAAGCCAACAGTTAGCCAATGGTCTATCCCCCACCCCCCGTTTGCCCTAATCTCTTCCAGTTGATTTTTAAAATTTAACCATTTACATTTACGGTTTCGGCGGGTAGGCGGTTCCATCGGTTTATAACCCTGTGGGTGAAAAAGCATCTCCTATTCTCAGTCCTACATTGTGGCTTGTTGAGCTTGAAACCGTTGCTCCTTGACTGTGTTACATCTGACCTTTGGAAGAAATTGTACAGATCAACATCCTCCAAATAGTTCAGTATTTTTAAGTTTTAATAAGACCCACCCTGTCATGCCTGGTTTGCAGTGTTAGCCCTGTGGCTCTCAACCGGTTCCGATACGAGAGTTGACTTGGTTCTGGAATGATTTTTGTTGCCCGGTGTTGCACCTTCTCCAGAGCAACTATGTCTTTCTGAAGACAGTCTCCATGCCTGGATGCAATACTCCAGGTGGGGACGCACCATAGACTTATACAATTGAACGACTTTATTCTTTTCCTTAAAGTTACAAAGTAATCCCAGAGCGCCGTCAATGAAAAAAAAGGCATCTAAAAGACCCATACAGTAATTTTTAGTGTCTTTCAAGGAGGTAAAGTAAGATAATTATCAGGAGAAAGCGCCATGCTGTAGCCCTAAGTGACTATATAGCACCTGGAAGGGATACAAGGTAGGCTAAATAAAGGCCAATGTGATGCTAAATAAAGGCCAATGTGATGCTAAATAAAGGCCAATGTGGTGCTAAATAAAGGCCAATGTGATGCTAAATAAAGGCCAATGTGGTGCTAAATAAAGGCCAATGTGATGCTAAATAAAGGAAAATGTGGTGCTAAATAAAGGCCTATGTGATGCTAAATAAAGGCCAATGTTGTGCTAAATAAAGGCCAATGTGGTGCTAAATAAAGGCCAATGTGGTGCTAAATAAAGGCCAATGTGATGCTAAATAAAGGCCAATGTGATGCTAAATAAAGGCCAATGTGGTGCTAAATAAAGGCCAATGTGGTGCTAAATAAAGGCCAATGTGATGCTAAATAAAGGCCAATGTGATGCTAAATAAAGGCCAATGTGATGCTAAATAAAGGCCAATGTGGTGCTAAATAAAGGCCACAGTGGTGCTAAATAAAAGCCACAGTGGTGCTAAATAAAAGCCACAGTGGTGCTAAATAAAGGCCAATGTGGTGCTGAATAAAAGCCAATGTGATGCTAAATAAAAGCCACAGTGGTGCTAAATAAAGGCCAATGTGGTGCTGAATAAAGGCCAATGTGATGCTGAATAAAGGCCAATGTGATGCTAAATAAAAGCCACATTGGTGCTAAATAAAGGCCACGTACGCGCACCCAAACCAGAGACAATGACCTTGGCCATTTTCTAACCCTCCTACATTCCCAATATACAGTTTCGAGGGCCGAGGAAGATATTAATGCCTGAGGGAAAAGTGTGAGGGAGAGAGAGAAGAGCAGCAGGAGGGAGAAGAGAAAGAGAGAGAGAGGACACAGAGAGGCAGCGAGCTCACCTGACCAACACATCACCACTAACAAACCACTATCATATCTCTCCTCCTCTTCTCACACACCTCTCTAGCCTCTTCCCACTAAATTCTAACACTCTAGCAGCGATCCTCACCCCCGACACCCATATCACTTGCCGCAAATCAACATTAATCAGCGATATTGTCATAATTCTCGACGGGATCTCATGGCCCCTTCAATCTTCGTTCAGGACCCCGACACAATGGCTATTTGGCCTAGATACAACATTAAATTCCGCGTTACTCACAATATCCCGCCACGCCACAGCATGCCTGGCTAGTAGCTGGGTGTCCCTGGTGTGCTCCGGCGGCGTGTGAGGGGCACCAGTCACCGGCGAGAGCCCAGGGGAGGGAATATATTAGAGGAGTCTGGTTGAAGGTAGAGGAGAAGATCTGGCCATGTCTGGAGCGGAGGTACCGGGCTGGCCCCTACACTGCGCATGCGCACACGCGCCATCTTTGAACACCCAAAACAATCATATGGGACTTATTTATATATTTATTTCTTTATATACAAATATATATACATTGAGGGTTAAGACAGTACATAGAAATGATGTCGGTTTTATATTCTTGTAAAGCTATTAGCACGTATAGCGTTTCGGGCAAGTGATATTGGGTTATTACATCAATTTATACCTAAATTTTATTTATCTTCATTGTGTAAGTTTTAACACTAAATTGAAATTGAAATAAGTTTATTGAGGTAAAATACACACAAAGGGATGAGGTAGCTCAAGCTATTCTCACCCCGTTCAGTACATCGTGTTAATACATACATAGACACACATCACAAACAATAAACATATTACCAAACATTCTGAGAGATAAACAGCTATATTTCCTTTCTTTAACACTAATTATAATAATCAACATCATCATTTTTATTCGAATGTACATACTTCCAAAATAAGTTACAAACGGACTGTGGGATTTCTAGATCATTGGGCATCTTCATCTCCATTGAATATCTCTCGTCAAATCTACCTTAAAATCTACTTTGGAGAATTCTTTGGCCAATCAGAAAATGATGAATGTTAGTTTCACGATTTATATGAGATTTTTAGCGACTCGTCAATTTGATCAGTATTGTGAGGGATACCTAGCTTGTTCCAATGTTCCTGAATTTACCTGATAGTCACTATAACATTCTAGTGGCCTCGACGAGGACAGAAAGCCGGAGGCTTGTCGAAGGTCCCCCTACGGTAATAATAGGGTTCAATATCCCTACGGTAATTAAATTAATAATAATAATAATTATTATTATTATCATCATTATTATTAATGAGAAAATCCGTGGGACCAGTGATGAGAGTTCGAACCCATGCGGTGGATGTTCCCACGCATACACTTCTAGCCACCAGACCACGACATGGTATAAGTTATTGTTGATGTTTAAGATTCAGCAACTAAGAACAAAAAGTTGCAAGTAGCACGGGCAAAGGTGAGCCCATAGTGGACTTACCTGGCACTGGAGCGGGGCTGTAACTTGCTGTGATGGTATAAGGATTGCAACCTGGAGTTCTACTGAACATACAAGGATTTCCTGAGGCTAGAAGCGTGTGTGAGGGTTCAAGTTCAAGTATGTTTATTGAGATAAGCAATAAATACATCTCAAAGGGATAGAGTAGCTTAGGCTATTTCTACCCTCCTCTACTTCAAGTCCCTCAAGGGGCGCACAAATTCAGTGAGTACAAATAGACAAATAACATTACAAGAATTCCATTTATCATTGCAGGTTAATATAGTAAGTACAGCATATAATTGTTACACTCTTGGGGCAAAATTCTTGTAGCTCCCAAGTATACTGTCTATCATACCATTATCACACAACCAAACAATTTGATGCGGTACACTACTTATTTCCTTATTTCTATAGTTATCAATAAGTTGACACTCTAATACATAATGTTCTAAGGTGTGGGCGTGCGGCATACTACATAATTTACACTCCTTATCTTTTTCACTGACATCAACACCGTATTGCCAGATATATTTGTATCCTAATGTTAATCTCATGTAAATTGAATCCTTCCAAGTAGACTTTCCTTTACCATAAGTGAAGGACGAATTTGTATTTATTATTGAATAATTCTTAAGTGTGTTACTACTGTCCACCATTGCCATTCTCTTTACCATTTCTTCACCCTCTTGGATCATCTTGATTCTTGTTTTTATTTTTGATTCTTATTTTTTGAAAAAAAAATCCAGATCCACCTTAGTTCTAGACTACCTTTGAAGAGACTATCATGGATCGAGACAGGAATTGCCGACTTCCTCCTAGAAGGAGTTAATAGAGCAAGCCATTAACGCTTCATGGTTAATTTTTACAAAGGTCACCACTGAACTTGTACAAAAATACGTACCATCAACGCAAAACACACGTAAAAGAACTACATGGATGAAAATAAACAAATAAAAACCCTAACACCAAAGTGAAACCTTTGGAATTAAAATCAATCCATCAGGAATCTGAGATTGTGTGATATAAAGAAGGGGATTCAATTTAGTTATTCAGAAAATCAGATTTCTTTATTTATATGTATACAAGACCAAAACATACAAGATCAACCAAAAGAAACTATGAAAGGAAACTTGCTTAAAACATTAAGAAAGATCCCTTAGAAAAGACCTCAACCAAGTCATATGTTGATAGAATGTCTGAATGAATAGTTTACGGTGTATGGCTGAAAACAGGGACCCAAAACCGGTAAAATTTAAAATCCAACTGGAAAAGATCAAAGCAAATGTGGGACATTTGACAAGCCGCCGGTTTCCTGTCCTCGTCGAGGTCACTAGTGTTTGCTCAGGTAAAATATATATGAAAATTGAAAACTATTTAAGTACCCCTTAGAATTATATTTACAGAAAACCAGATTCTTTAAAAGGTGTCATAGAAAACGTATTTAGCATATACTTGTATATTTTTAAACCAATGCTTCAAATTTAAATTTATCATAAAAAGACTGTGTACAAAGAACTTAAGAGTAATGTACAATTTGATTTATGATTGATCTATTTTATTCATTTAGTTGGCAGCTTGTCTAAGATCCCTCCGATTTGTTCCGAATGATTTTTTCCAAGCTGTAAGTTTAGCAGATTTGGCATTTATGGCCTCGGCGGATAGGCTGTTCCATGGGTTTATATCCTTTGGGTGAAAAAGCCCAGGATGGCTACTAATTGTAATTCAGAGCTTCCTGTGTGGAGTTGATGTGTCGTTGATGATATATGTGTCTGATAAGTATAGTCTGCTCAACCGAATATAGGCATAGATTACATTCCCGGGCACAGCGAGACATTTGGAGTAGTTGAATTTGAAGAAAGCAGAAGACAGTCAGGAACTAGCAGATCCATTGTTTATGACGATGAAATGTGACAAATACCTGTAAAGGTGTTTAAAAAATCAGTCAACTGATATGATGTCACAGCTCAAATAAGACTGCTACAATATTTGTTCAGATAGGGGGTACACACTAGATCATTACATCTTACTATGTGAAAAAAAACAATGTAGATATCTCGACTTCTGGCATGAATTGCAAATCATTTTATTTCAAATTATAAAACCTGAAATTCCTGCACTGTGTCCACAATTCACTTCTAGTAGACAAAATATCGTATATATGAAGAAAGCATGCTGTGTGCAGTGCCAATTTCATAGGTGCCAGAGCTCTGGGGGCCTGATAAAAGCCTGTCATTTCCTATTCTGTTTCATATGTCACACGATCAAGTATTTCGTGTTTGTACTCACTAATTGTCATAAGTACATAGGTACAAAGGTAACTGCAGAAGGCCTATTGGCCCATTTGAGGCAACCCCTATTTATAACCACCCAGTCTTACTCATATACATGTCCAACCCACGCTTGAAACAATTGAGGGATCCCACCACCACGTTACGTGTTAATTGGTTCCACAAATCAACAACTCTGTTACTGAACCAGTATTTACCCAAGTCTTTCCTAAATCTAAACTTATCCAATTTATTCCCATTGTTTCGTGTTCTGTCTTGTGTTGATACTTTTAATTCCAGTTTGAAGTAATTATCAAAAGAAGGCACGAAGCCGGCAATAGTCTATGTAGCACCATTAAATGTGCGGGATATTTATAGGGCACTGAATATCACTAAGGATGCCAATAGAACAAAAGCGCGCAAGGCGAACGATATCGAAGGTATCCGAAATAGCAAGAATTCTAATGTGTGACAAGTGACCGCGAAGGACGGTCGGTCAGACAAGACACACGCATGTCCTAGAAGTCCGGACATTCAACAAGGATATGCACGACCGTAAGGACATTCAATAAGGATATGCACGACCATAAGAGGGACAATGCAGTTTGGACAGTAGGAAGCAGGGCGGTACTCCATTAAGTGCCCGGGTATGACCAATACGTAACCTTGCCAGAGCCATTTCCCACCGCCAGTTACGGTGGTAGGAGGAAGGCCATGGGGGGACACATTACTCTCAAGAGCACGCAGCTAGTTACCAGTAACAGAAGACCAACGACCCTTCCAACGAGCAAGGATTGAGGAATGAATAACAGAGTAGAAGTCTGAATAGGGGGATACCTTTATGGGAGCTGGGACAAGTGCTGGGACAATATGACTGGGAACTCATCAAAACTCCACTGTCTTAAATCTACTGGAGATAAACACCCAAGGTTAAATTTCGACTACTACAGGATGGACTGGATTATCCAGTTTGAAAATTTGAACTAGTAGCAGTCAAAACACAACTTTTGCCACTTACTGTCATCATTATCAGTCTCCTGTACGTTATTCTTCTTACACACTTTATTTTGTTTACCAAAGAAGGAAGTCAACACCGTTTGCTTAGAAGCCATGATGGCGGTGTTAGCGAGAACAAATGCTTCTATATTAGAGAGAAATCCATGGACCACCAGCCACTACTCTACTAATGACACTGAAACACCCACAAGCAAAGTTGCCAACACAGTATTTCACACGACGCTACAACCACCCCAAAAAACACTACAATACGTAAAGTTGTGTGTAGCAGTTTTGTCGTTTTACTTGCCTAATATGTAATACTAACATTTTGTATGAATAAAGAATACCCGTCTAATGAACTACTGCTAAAGCCATAAACATTATCGTTGAATATTGGTATCCAAAGCGGTAGGTTGGCAACTGTCTCATACCGTTTGTCTGACATTAATGGACAGGAAGCGTTCACGTGGGTCGGGTATTATGTTTCGTACCAGTATAATTCAACCTGCCCTCAGATTCTGGACCCCGAGTTTATACTCGACGACCAACGATTTGTGTGGGCCAAGCGTCACCTTATTAAAGGTGAAGCTAGGAGTCAGGTGGTGGCTCTAGTGAGAGGTGACGTACCCGAAAAAGTGTTCATCACCGGGGCTGGCTACAGGCATGTAGCAAAGTATGTGGAAGAGCCCATAATATGCCTG